AACAAATTGTAGTAGAATGAAATAGAACAATCCTCTTCAATTCATGGGGATATGAGGTGCAGGATTGTTTTGGGGTGCTGACTACCCGATAAACGAGTTAGACAAATTAAACGAACGCTTTGTCTATGCTGATCCGAATTATAGTCCGTTTCTTATTGTTCAGAATTTGAATGTGATAGCTATTTGTTTACAGTGCAATAAATAAAAAAGAAATGCTTCCGCTCATAACTCCCAATATGATTTCTTACAAGCCTACCGACCGGGGAAACTTTTGAGCATCCAACTTGCAATATATGTTTCACTATAGACTATGACCCGATTGATTATATTTTCTTTTAAACATTTATCCAGCGAGTAACCATATTTGCAAGGTCGCGCTTCATCCCAAAGTAAATTGGGGAAGTACTAGTCCAGCACCGATATCTATGTCGTCTGGTAAAACATCAAACGAGAAAAAGTGAAAAAGCAGAGGTCTGTCACCAACGAAAGCTTTCACAGAACGTCGAAAAGACTGACTTGGGGAATACACCGGTATATCATCATCATCATCATCATCATCATCATAAAACTACAAATCATCGAAAATATCCTCAAATTTCGCTGTCATAGTCATACCTCAACATAGCAAAACATAGGAGAGGGAGAAAGGAGGTTTAGAGTCAAACCACTGCAGATACCACACCATCCAATATATCAGCTCTACGACAATGGAAGGACGAGAACAAAATTCCTCTATCGCCGATCACTGAAAGGACACATGGTAAGACGTTCACAGACATAAGCTAGCTTGTCCGTATACGGAAAAATAGGGGACAAAAGGAGTAACAAGAAATAGAGGATATTTAAAGATACATATGTATTTCACAGTATGGCAGAATATAGCTATTCTCACAAGTGCGAAGTACGAGTGAAAATATCGGTGTATTCTGCCATACAGCGCTTGAATATATTTGATATTCAACGGGAAACCTATGTTTCTTGTAATGGTTCCAATACTCCATTTTTTCAGTCACAAAATTTAATCCTTCTCTTGTCTGTGAACATCGTACTCTGTGTAACGTGTGAAGATATAACATTTCGTATGTCTTCCATGCAGTGGAGATATAACATTTCGTATGTCTTCCATGCAGTGAAGATGTAAGACTTTTTCTATTTGGTTGACATTACCTGATACATGTATTTCACTGGTAAAAATGTACTAAAACATAATATCGTCTTATGGAATGAACGAGAAAGTCATCAGGCTGTATAATTGTCGATTTTGTGGTGGTTAAGAAGATATGTTACAACCCACCTGATGTTCTGATGGGATCACAATGCCATTTCAAGAGATTAGCTACTCCTAGTACACTTGACCTTTCAACTATATTCTAAGGATTAGAGATATCCAGATTGGCGTTGATATAATTAAGTCCCTTTTCGGCAATGAACACAGAGACCAACCTCAGCTGATGTGACCATATGTCGATTCGCCGAAGAAGCTCTTGCAACGTAGAAAACCAACAAGATGAAAACAGTTTTCCATATGTGCAAAAGTCAGAAGGAACTTGTTACTATGTATAACGGACACGTTCCAGACTTCCTCGAGTAGGCAGACTCTATCCAATAAACAAGAAGGAAAGAGAAAACGAAAGACTACCGAAGCAGTTCTCTGCAATAGTGTAAAATATGTTTGACCCACAACAGAATGTGCTCCATAGGGGTTTCACCAAGGGATTCTTCTACTTCACAGCCGCCTTATTCTGCCCCAACGATATTGAAGACATATGGTGATCGGGTGGCACAGTGCATACCGCACTCACATGTCACCCAAGACGGCCACGGTTTGACTCCCTAGTCGGACTTGGAAAGGCTTTTGGTTACCTGCTCGACCATGTGTGATTTTTCTCGGTACTCCGGTTTCCTCCAACATAAAGACCCCTTGCGCACTTCGACCCGGACCTGGACTAACGAGCCTGATTAATATAACTTGAAAAAGCTTTTGAAATAAGTAGAGTTCATATGCACAAAATAGGCATTCGGCCTACAGGACGCAAAAAGCAGTCGTTGACACTGTCAATCATAACATCTGGTTCAGCAACGGTTTACCATGCGTATCAAATGGCTTACATATTATGCATGACCTTGATGTATCTGCAAAACCCCCCATCAAGTGGGAAGGACAACATTCGACCATATACCTATCAAAGAGGGCTTAACTAATGAGATATACAGATAAATACACAAGTAATATAAACTGCCTTTCAGACCAGATTCGAACCTGGGGTCCCAGAGACAAAATTGGAACTTTCAGCTGCACAACCCCGACATGTACTGCCCCTCCCCCCTATCGCTGCTCCTATTTATTTCTGCCTTCTGCCTGTTTCACAATGCTAACATCGCTCCTTCTCTCTCGCATCATCACAACTCTCATATATATCACAACCTCACGCCCTCGTCGATTTTCCATGACGCTCCGATCCCCTTACTCTTTTCCTGACCTCTTGCAGAACCTTAATTGGCTTATTTGGAATTAGATTTCTTTTTCAGCTTATTTGTATTTTAAAAAGAAAAATATGGTTAGTATTATTAATAATGTGTCTAACAGTTGCACAATAAACATAAATTTTAAATTTATTCAGTTACCACATTTTATATATTTATTCAGATACCACATTTTATCTCATCTACATTGTAACATAGCCTATTTCTCTCTGCTCCAACCAGACGTGATTAATCGTAATAGTGTTGTCTTTGTGCTCATATAAATAATTTTGTTTTTTGACTGAATGCGTACGTCTGTATGTCCTGCAAAACCAGCAAATTGTCTGACAGGAGCTGTTGTCATATGATGAACGGCGCTTCATTCCAATAACACCTATGTACAGATGAGAACGTGGGGGGTTTCGGCGACTTTTCACATTCTGGAATCATAACTGTCACCGTTGACGATAAACGAAAACAAAATTATAGGTGTGCATGTAATGATCAGTATTAAGTTGTTCTGACAAGCTGACAATCAAATTTCTGTTTATAGGCAATACGATTACATGTCCGTTTGTGATGGAAGTCGCTATCGATGAAAACTCTTGTATTTAAAAACAAAATAGCATCGAGACACTACAGATATTTCCAAGTGAGAAATAACGGCAAACAACCACATATATACATGTGGTTATACAGTCTTTATCTAAGAAATCCCGGTTATATTTCCCCCAGAATATACAAAGATATGATAATCATATAGTAATTATAAGTAGTGTATTCAAAACGTGATTGTTATGTTTGCATATTTTGTCTTTACGCCGATTAATAAATGCCTTCCTTCTTACGAATTCATTCTAACATGCTCCCAAATACAAAAAACAAAAACAAAACAAAACCCTTATTCGGAAAACATCACAAGTGCAAAAGGTGGTTTTATTGCGGTGCACAAAGAAGGTAGGACAAACTGTCCATTAACGGTCCATATTTAAAATGCAGGAGCTTTTAAAGAGAAAAATGTTGATTGAAATAACCGAGTTTAGTTTGAAAAATGCAGTTGGCGGATCGAAAGACCATTGTCCTTCCTTATACTACAGTTGCAATGAGTGACCGTTGAATGCTATCTGCAGATCAAGCTGAAAGACTTATTGCGGTACCGATTCGACAGGCATTAGGAAAACACTTCCCCTGAAATAAGTTCATTATAGGCTTTCTACGTAAAACACCCGTTATGCTTAACAAATATAAAGCACATCTTGTTTTATCTAGTGAGTTTTGGTACGGATGACAGCGTATGATTCGAAGTTTGGTCATTTCGTAGTTTCTCTTTTGTTTTCTACTAATTGAAGTCATCAGTTTTGTCAATATTGCATATTTATAGGAAAAATAAGATGTCGATAAGTTTAGATAACTTGAACTGTGCCTTAGGTACAGTAGCAGTGAACAGTAGCGTCAGTGGTTATGCGTGAGATTTTTGTACAATGAATAACCCTGTTATGTTACAAGTATCACAATGTAAAAACAAAAATCAGCAGTAAAATTATCATTTACACGATTTAAGTGACTATGTGGGTTTCATAATTTTTCCAGAAAAAAAAGTTGGATTAGGTTTCAGAGTACAGTTTTAGCCATTTGGAAACAAAACAAAAGTTAGATTTTCATGTAGTTTATTTTTACATGTATACTCAGTACATGCGTAAATATTGTGAAAAATCCATCGCATTGACCTATGCTAAAACGAGAGTATTTCTGTTATTGAGTAGGTAATATTTAAATTAGAACAGGTTTTAAGAAAAAATATCTATCCTCCGGGTCAAATTTTAAGTTAAAAATATTTTTTTATAGCATGTTTTGGCGTTTTTTGATGTGGTAACCATGGTCCGAAAACTTGGGAAAAAACTTCTTTAAAAACATCCTTTTTCTCAAAACGTATTTATAATGAAATGAATATATATATATATTTATAAATTTCATTATTAATACAATATATATATATACATGTATCCACTGTCCATGTGTATTCAGACATGCCCTTTATTTTTAGGGTCAGACCAGTTCTACAGTGCACTGCTACCTAAGCATTTGTTATTTAGGTAGGAATCGAAATCTCAACAAAATTTTCGAGATCTCGGTCACACAGTTTATTTAAACCTTCCTCAAAATTCCCGGGGTTACGCTCACTTACGTTCTCCGATCCCCAGAATATGAAAAAACCGAAGGCACGAAGGAAGCTATTTGATGAATTTCAAGTGTAAAAAAATGACCTATCGCTAGGCTGATACCTGTCCTCACAGATATGTTACAGAGTTGCGAAGCCCCACTTCAAAGCTGACCAATTTTACCGTAACACTGCTGCGCTATTACTTTGATCGCATAATCAAACTAAACAACTTGAATCATCAAGGAAACGAAATGATTGACATTCCACAAGTTTGCACATTTGTTTCAAGCGAGAATAACCTTGTTAATAGGCGAATAGCAATAAAACGATTTTGATCAATTTTATAAATCCACGAAGAGAACAACAACACTTCATAAGCAAAAGAAACAACGCATGCATTTCAACCAGGAAAATACATCAACTAGTTCGGTTCACAATGTGAATACTAGGTAACGCACATGTATATGAAAGATTGTTTAATGAGACTTAACGTAATTTCTCTTTTTTACATAAAATAGTATTTATCAAACAAGCCATATGTAGGTAGCGTTAACCTTTTATTCCTGAGAATAATATGGTACCTTAGAATATAAAAAATCCCCAGAAAGAGGCTGCAGTCACCCTTAATTCCACCCCTGATAAGTCATATTCAAAGACCCTAATTAAAGATCGGAATTAATATATATAATGCTCCAGAGCGAGGTTAACGAAGTCAAAGATAAACCTTTCGTCTTCCCAAAACTAGTACAGCAGATCTATAAAATATCTCTTTAGCAATGTAACTGATTGCTATGAAATGGCACATTATCTTGAGTTCATTTACATACCTAGGTCATACGTACTTAATTTTTCTTTCACAAGCTGTGGCGAGGCATATCAGCCTCAAATCAAGATAAATGTTGCTATGTGAAACCACTAAAATCGCCATAAAATTCCCTGGTCATACATTTAGCAGTTAATAAAAAAACAACACAAAAGGCCAAGTAACCTAAATTGGTAAATGAACTTTAGAGGATGTCCCATTTCATAACATATTCCATGATGTTATGAATGCACTAGACATGTTATAAACTATATATTATTTTCTCTCCAACAATAGCCCGGTTGACTTTTTTGTCACATATACCCATGCATGAAATCGAGTAATACGACATAAAACCAACAAATCGAAGGCCTTGTTACAAAAACAAATGTGTCATCAACACAGCTAGTTTTTTGTGTTACACACACAAACTTTTATATAAAAAGATTATATTGTCGTTCACATTGATACATTTTGCCTGTGTATTGCCTTTTCCACTTCTCATTTACAAGGAGTAATCCATAATATAAAAAAAGGTATTACAAACACCAGGGAGCCTAGAGTCTCTGTCTTTGTCGTATTTGTCTCGCTTCCTATGTTTCTTTTAATATGAGCTTTTCTACTTTTTCTGTGTCAATGGTGACACCAATGTCTAGCGATTGGTTAAACTGATCCATAAGCAAACCCAGGGTAGCATCCTTTCCCGATTTTACCCGCCAATGCAACAGAATTTTCATCATCTGAGTACCACTATCATGACAATCCATATCTATGTGATCTACATCGAGTTCAGGAATTCCTAAACACGTGGTCCACTGAATCTTGTCCTTTGGAGAGACGGTGGCGGAAAAGTTCATCAACTGTTTATCAGTCAAGCGTAGGTGGCGTTTGTGTTCCGGCACGTGTATACTTGGTGTGGCTGCTTCTGCTGCAAAAGAACGTGTTACATATTTATCAGTTTAATAATAATAAAGTAATAATATACAACATTTATATAGCGCCCTAAATAATTTGTAAAACTAGTCTAAAGCGCTTTACAGCATAAGGATAATAGTATTAGTTATGCTTGTTAATCCCTTTGTTTTGAAATAATAAAATATCTTGAAATGAAATCTTTATCACTTTGCATATTTTAAACAATTATGAAATGCTCTTCAGGTTGAATGAATCAGGGCAAGCATATATGATAATAATAATAATAATTCGAGGTTCTTATATACCGCTTTATCACAGCCTAGTTCGTAGGTCGTCTCAAAGCGGTTCACAAATTATTATCCGTGGTTATAGGGCCTTTGCAACCAGCCAATATCTTTCTCAACTCCCTGGGGAGCATACAGCCGGCGTTGCCATTTCGGCGCTCACAGCTAGCATTCTACAATTCTAGCACTGCTCAGCAACGTCCTCATGTACAGCTGAGTAGACTGAAACAAGCGGAGTAAAGTGTCTTGCTCAAACACACTCACCTTTCCCTGCCTTGTCCTCTGGTGGTAGGCCACTTTCAAGTTTGTCGATAATATTTGTATAATGTCTTTCTTTCAGGAGCTCAATTAGCACTTCATATGATCCATCTTTAGATTTCATTAGACATTCGAGACATTTTCTGTTTTTATCACGAATTCTCTTGACTTGATCGATCTCTTGTTTAGTCTCTAGAGTCAATCCTTTTCCTACTAAATGAGTTATAAAATCTGAAACGTCGAAGTTTCCAACGATATACTCCATGTGTGCTTCTATTTTAGCCACATCTTTACCATCCATTGGCATGACTCTAAAACAGAAATATATCATTTTCAGACAACATAATGAATCGGCAGTGAATGTTAAAACGTGTGCACGTTTGTTTCGCCATTGGATATTGCGGCTTCAATCTAACCGGCCCATTTCCTTGTGGTAGAATGGTTAAATCTTACATTTTAATAGTCACATTGTCGAATGAATTATCACTTTTACACAAAATGTTAGTACTGACTGCATGGCATATCTTATATATTTCGTTATATACTGAAGAAAACATATCAAATATATCCATATACCCTGAAGCCTGTTGTCTAAACTTTTTGACATTGAACAACTTATTGCCAAAATCTTTTTTAATTAGCTTTAGGATAGCGCGTGGCTTTTTCTTATGTTGAAATAAACCGAAAGAACCCGCTGCTTATGAGTTTTGCAATGTACTACATATTAAGCTTACATTTTATACAGATCCGTTTCTCGTTACAACGCGATCCGTGACCGTATACGTACAAAGTGGGTCATATCAACCATGACATAATTACATGCAAGGCAATTAAAAAATGCATATATGTTCTAGCTTGTTTGACGATCACGAGTGCGCACATCTGGTTCAGATCACTCCTTGATCCCGTAGGACTATACATAGGTTATGCTATCCATTCTTTGGTATTATCACTTTCACTTTGTTCTTCGTCCTTGCATAGTACATGTATCTACAGTGTTGATGTCCCTGTTCCTGTTCAACCAAGTACATCAACACGTAGCTACAGAGAAATTGAGCTGTGGTACAATTTAAACATGGGATAGATTGTTTGTTAATTTTGTACAAAAATGAAGTTATCGGGAATGAAAACACGGCTTCTATATAGTCTGTCTCGAACCGGGCCAATCCACAGTCTAGTGATCAGTGTTCTGATAGTTAAGCCAACATGGTGTACTTTAAAGTATATAAGTGATATTTACCATATAACCATAACGACGATTATGAAAACTATATATAAACTTACCCCAATTTTTAAAGTAAGTCCACTTGTCCAGTATACAACCCGGTAGTTTATATCTTAGTTCCTGCTCTTTCGAATGACATGCGCAATGGTAACATTAGCCTTACTCAAGTCCTCAATCACATAATATTAACGAGTAAAAGATAAAAAAAAAATCGTAACCTCTTTGCGGGCGTACGGAAAACTAACAGCTTTTTTTTATTAATACATCTGTAAAACAACATATGGCTAAATCCATTGATGAATTAAACTTCAGGTTCAGAAAGGTCTAACAATCGATAGTGTACGTGGAATCATTCTTTGAATGGGTGACCACGACCCACTTATTTTTTTATTTTTTTTTCAGGTTGATTGTCTATGCCCTTGAAACAGTATTTTACAACCGTGAAATGCGCAACTGAACCTATTCAAATACACAAAATGACCTGTATTAAACAACGTGTTTTATGCAGAATATCTACTTTTGATATTCGTCATCGAGAATGATTTTCATTTGCTCTCAATATCAATACAGAATGCTCCTAAATGTCTAAAGAAATGTTGGCATTATAGAGTTGTTTTGGTGATTTACATTATGAATGTCATTAATATAAATCTGACAGAGGAGTTTTCTTCAATAGGAATATGTGTTAGTTTCAAGTTATTTCCATTGAACAAGGTGGTTGATGCACAGGCATATTAACACATCATTGCCTAGCATACTGGTGAAACAGTAGGTGTTTGGTCAACAAACTTACTTTGACAACACCATCACAGAATGACTGACAACTAAAGTGTTAAGATGAATTCGAAACGAATACATTGTTTGACTTATTGTGTTTGTATTTTTTTCAGAAACTTGAAACTTCTACAGCAGAAATATTTTAGGATAGAAGTGATATTAATGGCACTGCGAAGACTTATGGTATAATGAATCACATCTTTAAATGTGATTGTCTCAAGAATACATGTTGTATAATTATAATCTATTCCCCCATGAAATTCCTTCCTTTTCAGTTTTGTCGAAACACCGCAAAAGAAATACATAGTGACAACTCCCAATTGATTCCTGATCAAACGTTGACTAACAATAAATGCTATAATTACTTGTGAGTTCTTTGACCTTATATTTGCACAGTAGCAGGGACCTTGCTATTTTCATGATTGTGTAGGCGGACATTTATTTTATTTTGAAAACATGTTTTATATTATAAACAAAAAGTGACTTATTGTGTTTGTATCATCTACGGTAGAAATACATTGATGTCACTGCGAAGTAATGAATAATCCAATACATTTATAAATAAGATTTTCTCAAGAATATGTTTATTCAATTATGTTGAAACATTGCAAAAGAAAGGTACAATGGCTACATCAGTGACAACTCCGAATCGATTCCTGATCAAACGTTGATCAACAATAAATGCTATTATTGCTTGTGAGTTCTTTGACCTTATATATTTGCACAGTAGCAGGGATCTTGCTGTTTTAGCGGACAGTAATCATGCGTAGGTGGAAATGTATTTTTTTTAAATTGAAAACACGTTTTATATTAAAAACAAAAATATCTTAATGGAAAATATGCCAAATATCCAACAGATAAATTGACTTGAATGTTTACCATTTGTAGTTCTACGTTACAACAAATCATCAACAAAATCACGAAAAAAGGAGTTCCCGTCAATTTGGATATTAATGTCAAGCTAATTGAAAACCCAATACCTTGACTGTATGTTATATGAATGGAAAAGGAGTAAGAGCACTTATATACATTTGAAACTCCGTGGTCATCTATGAGCTAATATGATGTTAAACTTATAAATGATATCATCAAAATCGCTATGATGTATTTTAATACAGTCAAACCCATGTAAAGAATATCAAAAGGAGTTAACTACTAAGTAAACAACATGATCGGAGTGGTAGTTATCAAAATCACTAGTTACTGTTGTCATAGTTACATATTCGTATAGGCTTTATGTTCAACCTAGAAAGACGTGTACTCCTTGTGTTAAAGTCTTTGAGTTTTAAATGGTGTTTACTTAAAAGTAACGTATAAATGCGTATCGAAGGACCTGTCACTCAAACGAGTTTGTTACCAATACAGTTGATTGGTTATTACACTAACAAAGTATTGTATTATCAAAGGGAACAATCATAGCATTCCCTGGTTTTACTTCTGCGCTCTCCTCCTTTACAATGGATACAAATATATCACGATATGTCACAGGAACCGGGAGTCTGGTATAGAATCAAGTTGGTGTTGTTGTTGTTGTTGTTCACAATTGTTGTTGAACATCACAATCTTCATCGTCATCGTCATCATCGTAGGCCTTCAATGATCTGCTCCATTTTGTCTGTGTCAATGCTGACACCGTTCTCGATGGCATCGTTAAAATGGTCCATAAGCACACCCAGGGTACAACCGTCTCTCGATTTATTCCTCCATATAAACAGAAGTTTCATCATTTGTGCACGAACATCATGGTTTTCCATATCTATAACATCAACGTCATGTTTAGAAACTCCTAAACACGTGGCCAACTTTAACTTGTCCTTTGGAGAGACTGTTTTAGAAAAGTACATAAGCTCTTTTTCAGTCAGGCGAAGGCCTCGTTTGTTTTTCGGCACGTTTATACATGATGTGCTTGCTTCTTCTGCAAAAGAAAAAGTCATACCATTTGTTGAATGTGCATAGCAGATATTATTTTGGTTTGTGAACGAACATGGTATATTCGATTTGTTTTTTCCGTTTTTAATATGCAGCTTAAAGGTCTATTATGCAGCACATTTACGTTAGCTTTGTCATCCAAATATGAAGTACAATTTAATAGGGGAAGAGTTTAATATTGTGATGACGAACTCACCTGTCACTGCTGTTTCCTCGGGTGGAAGGCCACTTTCTAGTTTATTGATAATTTCTGTATAATTTCTTTTCCTCATGAGCTCAATGAGCACGTCATATGATCCATTTTCAGATTTCATTAGACATTCGAGACATTTTCTATTTTTATCACGAATTTTCTCGACTTTGTCAATCTCACGTTTAGTCTCTAGAGTCAATCCCCTTCCGACTAAATCAGTTATAAAATCTGTAACGTCAAAGTTTCCAATGATGTACTCCATATGAGCTCGTATTTTAGCCTTATCCCTGTGATCCATCGGCATGATTCTATAACAAAAAAAGGACAACACAGCGAATTAGCAATGGATGTTGAATAAGATTGTGTCACCTGGTAGAATACAGCAGCTTCCTACAGACACGGCTATAGAGAATTTCTCTTCGGCTCATCCGGTAGCTGTGTTAGACTAGTAACCAGAGGTTTGACACCTAGCTGTGGCACCGAATAACAATAATGACCCTTGTTACACTTGTTTCCGATTTTTATCTTTTATTTTTTTAGGGTGGGGGTAGGGGGGTATATTTCTTTGACAATTTCTCGGGGTACTGATTTTTTTTTTCTTCTTTTCATATAGTAACATTTTGTTGGTTCATTTATAAAATTATCATACTGACAGTATGGTATGTCTAAACTATGAAGATTGCACATACACCACCAAGGGAGAGAACTTAAACAGCACTCGAATATATGGTCCTATCTTTCTGGCATTGTAGTGCTTGTACAATATATTGATATTTATATTTGTTATAAAGATCCTATCTAGTGGGGTTTTAATGTAAAAAAACAACAAACAAAAAACAATTTGTAAAAACCTGTTTTGAACAGTACATTCCGTCATTTTCGGGTATTAAGCATACATGTATAAAATAATGAGATATAAAGGTTTGTTTAGCGACCTCATCTCGGGTTCTGATTCGCAAGTTCTTTTTCAATATTCCAATCACATCATCCCGCCACCTTCATTCAAATAAAAAAAAGGTTTTTCGCTTGTAATACAGCTCCCCAACCCACGGTCCGTATTCATGTAATGCGATGTTCAAATTATTCAAACTATATACATACATTCCTATACTAGACACATTTGTCGACTCTGTTAATTCGAATTTCCTCTGGCCCTGACACCACGCAGACTAAGACATTTTGACATGTAGACGTATGTTGTCTGTCAAAATGTCTAAGTCTGGTGTCAGGGCAAGGGTAAACTCGATTTAACAGAGTCGACAAATGTCATAGGTCTACCTCACCCGTACCCACAGGTTAATGTCAACCGAAACACACACACATCAGAACGTGAAGGAATTAACAGATCCGTTTCTCGTTATTCCGCGTTCCGTGAACATAACATAAAACATGTGCTATATCAGCCATTACAGGAAGCACAATAAAACACAAGTATGTTCAAGCATGTTTGACGAGTACGAGTAAGCATATCTTATTGAAATACCTTAGTGGCCCCTCTCGACTAGATAATCGTTATGATAACCTTATTTATGACATATTACTTTCACTTTGTTTTCGGTTACATATCATTTATACATGTCTAGTTGGTGACCTTGATCTCGGTTAATCTCAAGTATACATCAGAACGAAGCTAAATGAGGTTTGTTATACAATTTAAACAACTTGCGATATATTGTTTAATAATTGTGTACAGAAATAAGTGTCCCGGAAGGTAAACTCGACATTTTATCGATCAAGAACCGGGTATATCGACCGTCCACTGACTGGGGGTCTCCCGGCACATACTAATTAGGGTTCAAAAAGTCAGTAGTATATATATGTCTCTGTTTTACTATAGCGTACATGTGATGCTTATAAATTATCATAATGAAGATAAGGTAAACTAAATAAACCTACCACTAGCTTTAAAGTACGTTCACCAGCCCACTGTGATGATCCGGCAGTTTATGTATGTCTATACCTAGTTATACTTCCTGCTCCTTCGAATGACATGCGCCAGGAGTCTAACTCAAGTCCCTAGATCACACAATAATAACAAAAGTTATATTTCTAAAAACGATAGTCAGCGCAGCTAACAACATCAGTATGTGGTAATAAATTAACTGGAAAAGATATACTATACTTTTATTTTATTTTGACATCATATTAAATAGCATATGACCTAGAAAACGGCATAATATATGACTTATACCAGAGACGTATAATGTATTATACGTCTCTGCTTATACATATACATCATCATTTATGTATTGACACTGACATCACATGAAATGCGAGATGACATGGTATAAATTGGTATTGCCTGCGATGTGACATTAATACATGATATAAATATTACGTTATTCGTCACATCACATCTCATTTTTTAGGCCATATATCATGTCATGTTATGTCATGTACAATAAATATATCAGAAAATATGTCATACTATGTAATGTCCTATTTGTGTCAAGTCTCATGTAACACGTCATGTGATATATTTTACATGTACTATATAACAACCAAAATGTCATGAACCATGTCATGTTATTCATGTACCACGTCATAATGTGATCATGTCATATGGTTTACACTATAAACATATCGGGTTCCAAATGATGTGCTAAAGACGCCACATTCAAAAAATTCAATTTAAATGTTTGGTTCATGGCTACAATAACTTAATTTTCACGTGTTCCCAGATTTTGCTGTTTTTGTTTAAGATCTGTGGAAACTTGGCAGTTATTGAGTCAGAAGAGTTATCACGGCAAAATAAGTAATGTCTCAATTACTCTTCATCTCAAAAAAATGTTATTTCAGTACATCAGTCTAGGCGAAATGATGCGGTATAACGGTAGGTTGTATGTATCATGTACCAATATCATGTATGGATAAATTGTTGTTGGATTTCTCATTCTGTTCATTTTAGAATCCAATTTTCGTTTGTTTCGCGGTAGCGCACACAACAACATATGGCGGGCAAGTAGGACTCAACCTTAAGCTTGGCCCAGACGGAGTAGGCATATATGTATGAGCTTGACCTATAACTGAACATGTACGGTATGATTCGGGGGATATCCCGCTTTAAATGCCAGCCTATCTGGCGGAATCTACTCGTACCTGCCACGGTGGTCAAAACGCCTTATTACTGTACAACTAACAGTAATGCAAGGGTACGTACAAAATGATTAACATTATGTACTTAAAAATGTACTTGCTATTGTGTGAAGTGTTGTGATAGGATACATCTAGCTGTAGATCAATACACATGAAGCGGGATATTTAAAATTGTTTAATGCTGAGAGAGTAACATTCATTGTGTCATTTCTACAGAAAATGTCACATATCAAATTTCGATCATATGAAGTTATCAATAGTTTCCAATCCTAACAGATAGATTTTGTAAAATTTCATAAAAATAATCAATATTTGCGCTAATCGACTTAGTTCGATTAGAATACAATACATTTTACCGGTCTACCGGAATCGAGTAGGCCCATTTTGTTTTCAATTTTCCATTAGTTTCATTTTAGCAATAAGTTTCATTATTTAAATAAACGTGTTTATAGATACAATGTAGATGTATTTATTCCAGAAATAAAATTTCCTCATTAATACATGTACGTTTGAAATTCACATTTATTCATAAAATAATAGTACATTCATTTGTAACTATGTTTAATAATTTTTTTTTAGATATATCACTATGATACATTTTTCAGCTTTCACTGCTGCTGAAAAAATAGCCCAAATGAAAGTAATTACATTTATGTTTGACTTTGTCTTCATATTATTGTTTGCCCCTGTACATTTGCATTCTTATCATTAATTTCACCAACTTATCTTTCGTATAGAAAAAAACAAACGTTGGTTTCACGCACTTTGGCTTAGGACAAATCGGGGAGGCCGTGGTTAGTCCACAGGGGCACGGTTCAGTAACTGGTTATTGAACCATGCCCCTGTGGTTATTCCTTAAAACCTCAAAATATTTTACTGCCCGCACTGAGAATCTAATGTATTACTTTGTATTTAATTAACTGTTTTAATATTAGTTTCAGGATAATGTAATTTTAATGGGCAGTCCTGGGTCCGGTAAAACCACTGTTGGTCGACTGCTTGGTCCTAAATTAGGGATGGACGTGTTGGACATTGATGACCATCATCTCGAATCATTTTGGGGTATGCCTGTATCAGAAAAGGTGAGATAACATAGCTACACCTTTCTGTGTGTAACTAGTATTTTGTTATCATCATTGTTTGAAGTTACAATATAAATCTGCTTTATGATCGACGATTTGAGTGAAGACAGTTTCCATAGAAATGTATTAAAAGTATTGCAATTGGTGCGGCAATCTCTTGTCTAACCCGGTTGTCGCACACAGGGACCTTGTAATTAGTTACAGCTATATTTGGATCTAAACTAAGGTGTTCAGGTACTTTTACACGTTTTAGGGGTTTAGATCAAATGTCGGTAAAAAAAGCCACTCCAAATGATGATATATACGGGCAATTTTACCCGGAAAGACAAAGTTGATCTAAACCCTTAAAACGTTTAAAACAACTCTGAACACCTTATAAAAGTAAAGCTGTAACAAATGCTCATGCCCCTGTGTATAAGGAACGGCAACTCTGTGTAAAGTTTGGTTTGGTTTGGTTAAATATTGTTTAACGTCCTATCAACAGCTATGGTCATTTAAGGACGGCCTCTCCTGCGTGCAAGATGCATGTGTGTAGTGTATGCGTGTGTGTTTTGGGAGGCTGCGATATCTTCGTGTTTGCCTCCTTGTGATAGTGCGGAACTGATTCCGACTTTATAGTGCTACCTCACTGACACATACTGCCGCAGATACCCAGCAGGACACCCCACCGGAGGTACAATTCTTACGCCCTACCTGCAGGGACTCTGGGTAAAGATTCCGAGCGCAATGCATCATTTGCGATGTCTCTATGTCATCTATGTACACAGTACGTACATGTATCAAGGTTACGATCAGGTTCTTTCTTCCGTGTATAGGGAATGTGTATTGTATTGAAAACCTTGGTAAGCGAAGATTAGCACACCTAGAATTACCTAGATTCTACAGAAGACTCAACCTTTTTATTCTCAAACTGTGATGAAATAATAAACCTGCTGAATACATCAAGCAGATCGTATGAAGCGAATAGATCCGAGACTCCTTGCAGAATCAGTGTTTTTTTCTTCTGCATCTTCTGTTCCGCGAAGCCGACATTGATTACTACCTCCATCGCAACACTTCGGATCTTTATCTTTTGTGCCGCTTTAAAATGTAATTTTATTCTAACGCCTGGTCATTGTTTGTTTGAATCTGTTAAATATGACGATATGATAACGAATGCTTGAAAACTAGTGCATTCTTTAGGCCAGCGTTGGACTGTAAGTCATGGCCCAATTATTTCCTACTGCTATTATCTAGTGACGGTAAGTCGAGTTTAAGTAGGCCGTATATTTACTTAAGGTAGTAGGGAGCGTCCAGACATTGTGCAAGCGCGTATGGCAAACGTGACTTAAATACTTTATCATCAGTAAAACGAGAGATAATATAGTTACCTGGTACCCAGCGTCCAAAACGAAATATTGCTAACGTTATCGGTTCTCAAATATTGCTTTTACGATATGGGATATATATCAATTCATAAACATAAACATATATATACTCATGGATTTTGTTTACATTTTTAAAGTTGGCAGAAGTCGGATCAGATTCATTTATCGAAGAGGAAGGAAAAGCACTCATGGAGTTCAATGAACGTGGTAAAGTTATCTCCCTTACTGGTTCTAACCCCATGTACAAACCTGCGATGGACCACATAGCAAGGACGGGTACTGTGGTATTTTTGGATACACCCTCGGATGATATTGTTAGACGGTTAGAGGAAATGAGAGTCAATCGTATCGTAGGACAAAATGACGGAGTGACGATGGAAAGTATACTGAAATACAGACAACAGTTTTACGAAGGATCGTACGACATTCGTGTCATAGTCGAGGAAAACGAAAATCCGGAATCCATAACGAATAAAGTATTTTTAGCCTTGAGTAGGTTGAAAATGAAACCCGGGTATGTATCGACCCGACAGAACTCAAAACCTGAAGCCAGGAAGTCTTTCTCCGATGTCATTCTAAAAGGTCTGGCGCCTGATGGCGGTTTATTTGTTCCTGGCTCCTGTCTGCCTGTTTTATCCATAGGAGAAATGAAACGAATGGTTGACTCAAAGTATCCCCAGCGAGCCCTTCAAATCCTTGAAAAGTGCATCCACCCTTCCGATCTCCATCCGTCAGTGTTGTCAACTTTCGTTTCTCGTGCTTATAGCAATGACAACTTTGAATGCTTCAAAGTATTTCCGGTACGTCATCTAGACAACAATCAATATCTCCTAGAACTATTCCATGGGCCAACAGCTTCCTTCAAGGATGCAGCTCTGCAGTTGATGCCACAATTCTTCGTTAATGCGTTGAAGGCATCCAAAACTACAACAAAGTAGGTTATCTATATTCTATTTAGTGACAGCTACCCCTTCCACAGTGAACAGTCATAGTAGAAAATACCACACCAACTGTAGCAAACATTTTCATCAATCTATCCCGTTAAAACAGTATTGCATGGCGGCGTTGGTGTTTAATTACTGCTTTGTAGTATTGTGTCGAGCAAGTTTGTTACTTTTCTGTGCTGTACTTTCTTATAGTTATTTAGTGTAATTGCCGATTCAGAGGCGGATCCAAGGGGGTGTCACAAGAACCACGAAAGCAAAATAAAAATAATAGATTAAAAAGGGACCCTTAAAAAAGGCCAAAACTGTTATTTTTTTATGCAATATTCCATTGTTCAGACCAAATATGTCGCAGGATGAGCTTTGAAGTTATCGTTGGAGATTCATAAAACATTATTAATATAATTTCATTAGATACCATAAAGTGATAGTACATGTAATATGGAAAGAATTACTGAGAAATGTAAGCATTATTTTAGTTGAATAACCACCCGAACTTATACTATACAACGTCATAAATATAAATTCAATAAATGCATCATGCCTTGTGCTTTCATTGTGATGATTGTGTTTCAAACAGGTACGTCATTATCGTGGCCACTTCCGGCGACACAGGTGGAGCAGTTCTTGATGGATTTATAAGGCATGAAGGTGAGTCATTGTTACGATGTACGTACTGTCGTCACGTGTACTCTATCTTATTTCCCCGACACGTGCAATATGTTCCTTGAAACGTAGTGGTAATGAAGTTTATACAATAGAACCAGCTTTACTGTCACGTGGCTCGCTGCATTATTACATCAGACATCGATAGATTCTGGTAAAATGAAAGAAACTGGGTCCGTATTTGGAAAACCGTGTTCATGCTTCAACACAGCTTTGGTGCCTAAATTCAATGCTTTCCATAGACATTTTCGAGTAACAACGAGTAACTAGAGACTGCTTTTCGTTATTTTGAACACAATTTCACTCTTGAGCATGATAATGAATTTATGAAAACGGACGCGGTCTTTTGAGACCAATGAAACATGCATCATAATATTAAAATGTTTATATATCTAGGTGGCGCTGATGTCGGCGTTCTGGTACTGTACCCGGATGATGGTATCAGTGATGTACAAAAACAACAGATGACGGCAATGGCGGGCAGAAACATCCAAGTAATAGGTATGGAAACATGTGCGTTTCATTTGTATGCAACACCGGTCATTGCCAGTCTTTGCTTGACATAGAAAACAGATGTTTTCGAAAGCTCGCAAAATAAATTTTAAATTAGTATTTGTATTCAAAGCATATATCATTATTCATTGTCTTGCGCCTAAGTCGTTTGACGCACAATCGAATAATCGTATTCCAAAAATTGAAGGATAAACTGTAAATTCTGAATCAAACATCATCCCTGGAGATTTGGGGACAAAATACAGACTGCTGTTTTTACATCCAAACCAAACAAATATTAGTGTCCGTCTCCCATCTTTATTTCAATCAGGTGTTCGTGGAGATTTCGACGTGTGTCAGTCCTTCGTCAAGCGTGCCTTCAAAGACCGTGCTCTAGAAAAAGACCTGATGGTCGACACGAACTGTAAACTAAGGTATGTCGTTTTAAAGCATTGTGAAGACATGTGTCCATTCATCTCGATAGGGCGGTTCATGTAAGGCTATTTTCCGGAAACGTTCGTCTGTCTATCAACAGATTAATATGACCATAAAGAACCATATGTGATTTGGCAAAAAATAGCAAAACTTTATCGAAGCACATTCTTTTTCAGTTATATCGTATAGATGTATACATAAATAAGAAGAAAGGCAAGTCAGGTGTTGTTATTACTTGAAGAAAAGGACAGTCAAAGGGGGGAAGTTCGACCTTTAGGAAACAATTTGATTCCATCAGATGCTGTTGGACATATTTAAATGTGAAGATGTTGTCCTCGTCCTGTTGCGCTCCATTTTCCCACAAATTCAAATTTGCCTGAAATTATTCTTGGAATTTCATATTGCCTGCAAGCGATGAAAAATGTGGATATCAAGAGGGTGTCCACAATTATATGCAAGAAATATAACAAGATCATACTTTATGAAAGTCAACCGTTAATGTTCTTATTTTGTGTACAGGTCCTGTAGGATATTTAATTTGCAAGGTCCAGTGTTTTAATATCGTGGTTCTAAGGTAACAGCAGAACGTGCGTTAAATTCCTTTCGCATGATTTATAAGACTTAGAAGGGTACCTTCATGTTATCATCAAGCAGGTATTTTAATACGGGTAGCATTATCGAAATCTTACATCTAAACATAAAATATCTGGTTGTCCTGTTCATGTTCTTTGTGATCAAACGATATATTTCTTATCAAAATGTCTTGCTTGTATTGTGCACTCTAAATAAAAGAAAAATACGTTAATAATTAGGGAGAAAAAATGTCCAAAACGTACAAGTGGGACACATCTACAGTGACTTTTTAAATCAGTATCATCAGCTGAAGTAACGCCAGGATATCCTAGAAAATGACGAACCCCTGATTCAGCATTTTAGGACCTGCCCCCGTATTTTCTGTAGTGATACCGCACATTCCATCGTTTTGGTTCTTATTTTTGTGTATTTTTCCTTGTTAACAAAGCGCCGCCAACTCCATCAGCTGGGGGCGTCTCCTACCACAAATAGTGTACCACGTGTCTTCGTACCTCGATCTTGTCCAGAATGATGTCATCCAACTCGGAAGCGAAGTTGATCTCTGCATACCCACAGGCAACTTCGGAAATATCTTGGCTGCGTATTATTCAAAGGTTTTTTGTGATTACTCCAGTAAATCAGTTTCACTACAAAAAAACAGCAACATTTATGTAGGCAAACGTTATACAGACCTAATTACGTTCATTCCAGTACCATAACTTAAACGCGACACACAGATCTATGTGCGGGATCGCATTGCATTAACCTCTTCAATACTAGTTCGGAACATCAATCCATAATTCGTTCTTATCAATTTGTTATTACTTGTTCTAATAAAGCTTTTAATCGTCATGTAACAAGTGATATTTAATTCTTTGAATGATGATGAAGCTATCTTTAATTTAATAGACACTATATAACATTTCTACACGTAATGTTCCAAAGTCAACAGCGCTCATATTGCACAATACTACTTCTGATTTATGTGTGCCTACTGTTCGATAATTTCCTAGAACCATGCGTACCCCAACTACAGTAACCATTAGAATAGAATTTTGCCGCGCATTAATCTTACAAATGGGCAATTATTGCATTAATTATAAACTTGTGTTCACAGACTGTAATAAAATAGCATTCTTGTATTTTGTTTTTATTTACAGCAAATGGGAGTGCCGTATCGGCGATTGATTTGTGCTTCAAATTCCAACAACATTTTAACAGATTTCATAAAAACTGGAACCTATGACCTTCGGAACCGCACATTACACAAAACGACATCACCTGCAATAGACATTCTGGTCTCGTCTAATCTAGAACGCTATTTGTATCACCTGTCGGGCGGATCTGCCGACTTCATCTCAGAATGCTTCACAAACTTGGAGTCATCAAAACATTTTTCTATACCTGAAAAGGTTGTTAAACGTTTGTTCTTGGTATCAATATTCTGTCACATTTCAGACTGTTTCAGTTATTTACAGGCAAGATAACTAAATCCTATTTTGTGTTGATGTATTTTTATATGTACTTTAAGCCGAACGAAAAACGTTTCTTGTTTATTTGTAGGTTTCATATTTTGTCTATTACATCATGCCTCTTATAAATCTTAGTTGATTGATTGACCAGAATTATTCCATTGTTTTAAGAAGCTTTTTATTCAATTATGATTATATCATATTGAAGAATATAAAAAGCTTGATTTTATGTTTATGCAACATGTTGTTCGTAAATGGAATTGTCCAGTTTGAACAGCTCCGTGTGGCGAGAGGTGTGAAGATGGAAAACGTGATCTTGCATTGCTTAGTGATATAATTCAGTCTTTTTATTTTGCATTTCTTTTCCAGATGATATCGGCCATGAAGGAACTGTTTGTTGCGGACTGGTGTTCCGAAGAGGAAGTGAAGAGGACAATCCAATCTACCCTGGATAAAACAGGTATTACGTACACTGAGCCAGGAGTGATTGAACTGGCATTATTACTACATTGAACCACGGAATTAGATTATATAAGTCCGTACATGAACTGTAGATAATAACATAAGCCAACTATTAATTTTGATAAAACTGTTTCAGTCGAAAAGACCCTTTGTGATCAGATTAATGTTTCCTAGGCAAGTTTGGATGTTCTGTAGTGGGGTCACTGTATTCTCTTTAAAAATCATATAGCGTGCATTACTTACCTTACAATTATTGTTTAACCCTCTTTTCTACTTACCGTACCTACTGGCCCGACACCATTCTGGTAACATCTATCTGTCAAAATGTCCAAGTCTGGTGTCAGGGCCAGGGGAAAATCAGGCTACCGAACCTACTTGAATGTCGTTTGTTGTTCCATAATCTTATTCCACAGGCTACCTTTTGGATCCCCATACCGCTGTCGCAAAATCTGTCGGTGACCGCTTCAACGTCAAAGACTGTCCTATGATCATTGCGTCCACAGCACATTACTCGAAATTTGCACCCGATGTGGCCAGATTCCTTGGTCTGGATATTGAAAACGAACAGCTGAACGAAGTGTTTGATAAACTTAAAGACATGTGCGCTAGTCCTGTTATGCACATTCCTCTCCAGCAATCGATTGAATGTCCACAAATCCACACAAAAGTCCTGAATTCCACGTATTCCGAAGTTCGGGAGGAAATCAAAACTTTCGCTCGTACGCTGTAGGTTGTCTTGGAAACAATCAGACCATGAGTGGGTTATACTGCGTAGCGTTAGAATATGGATGACGACATTCTCGATGTGTAGAGTTTCATGAATGAATTCAGTTATCGCTAAGGATGTTTTAACTGAACATTAGTATTTCACATTACATTACATTACAATCAACGCTTCTCGTGTAGTGATTCTGGCCAGGAACACGTTTATTCAAATCGTAATGACGACTTTACTTATATAGTGCGAAAATCACAAAATCTAAAAGGCTATTATATAACGTTGTTTGCAAAAGTTTGATTTTGAAAATAGTTCTGATTTATTTAATGTATTCAGCATTGTGTTCTTAAATGTGATAAGAGCTATTTTGGTACCGTTTCATTTACATTGGTGAATTTTGACCACAGGTTAATATTAAAAACTTGTTTATATCATAGGCGTATTGATAGACGATGCTAGTACCTGTGTTTTGAATGACAGAACATTTATGTTTCAGCTTTTCATATTTTTTTCTCTTTTCCCCCCCAATGTCAAATTCACCTCATAAATTTAAATGTATATAAGGAAATGTGATAGACAGTATATATGTATGGCTTGTAAAGTAGCTAACTCACTGGCATCTGCCTAGCTTTTATCTGACATTGGGTATATAGTTTATTTACAGAATACACAACTGTATTTTTGTTGCTTTATTTGATTTTGTATATAAAAAGTATATATCTATGCAAAAAATAGATACATTGTACACACAACTGTGGGTGTACAATTCACCTTTGTGCGATTATTTTTTAATGTGAACTTATGTATAACTCTGGGTATAAACGGTTTATAATGCTAAATAAAGATATAAAGTGATGGTATTGTGGCTTAAATTGTCGTTGATTAGAGTTCAGTGTGCAAAATAAATATACTTGGTTGTAGGATTGTTGCTATGTTAATTGACCTTGGGTGTACACCTCCTATTGCAGTAATTCTACACAGAAAATATTAAATGATTTATCCAGTGCATTCTTTTCTTATTATTATTCTAAATCTATTGAGGAAAATGAGAAAAAAAGTATTAAAGAGACTCATAGGTCATGAATCTGTTTCCTGGCTATTTCGGAGTGGAAATACAAGCAGTAATTTCGGAGGAGAATCCCAGGTACATTTCCACATGGGTCCAGGATATGCTAGCATATATAATGATTTGGTTTAATTCTGACCATTAATTTGGAGTGATACGTCGTTTAAAGTTAATCTTCCTACTCGACCCCATTCGACCACACCACTTAGCCGACAAGAAAACTCAGCCCTTGTACCGATATTTGTAAAACATTTAATCAATACTTGCTTAGCATGCTCCAACTGAAATCTCTGCCCAGTAGGAGATGTTTTTCAAAGTGAAATCATCGAATTTCATCCCGCTCCCAACATTCGTCTTAAAGTTTTAAATAATAATCTATTTGAGTTAACATAGTCAAAGATTCAGCAATTTCAACCAAATGTCAAGAGCTTTAAGAATTTTTATCCCAAGCATAGTTTTGACCAGTATCACAATAATGACTGTTCTTTTATAATGAACGATTTTGATAAATGAAGACTTCCTCATGTAATTGCCATTGACCCAAACCTTTCTTTAATTGACAGAAGGAAATAAATTGCAAGGTGCTAATGACACGGTTTCACACATTTAAGAATTTCCAATATCATATCCAGTGGTAGAGAGATGATTTTTCTTGGAGGGAGTTTTAGTTTACTAAAGGTACAAATAAAGGGAGACTCTAAACGAAAACGGAAGAAATGATCTTCCTATGCATGATATTATTTCAGGCCGCTAAACACCGCACAACCAACCAATTTTAGAACGTTTTATTCATCCAGAAGGATATCTTCAAAACCACAATTAAAATGAAATTCATTTTCCTGAAATAATTTTGCTTTCAACATGAAACATTGTTGCTTCACTGTAAATGATCAATTCTCTGCTGACGATTGATTGCATTATAATTTCATCAACTTGTTGGTTGAAGCATATTTTTTAAAACAAGTTATATGTATTATTTTAATATCAATTCCGTTTTTCATTTTAAAGGTCCTACAGTAAAACGTCTGCAGAAAAACTGCATATACATGTATCTAAACATTCCAAAAACAATGAAACATCTAAACATATATTATAGAATACATATCACACGCAAAAATATAAAAAGACCAGCCAAATAAAATTTACGTAAACTTCCTGTTCATTTTATGAAATTATTTAACTCTTTAGTTGATCATTCTATTAGGATGTGTTCAAGCTTATTTTCAGCATTTTTTAAGTATCATTACCAATTTACCACCCAATCGATTCTAGATGAGATTCAAAATGGACGAATGCTACATGAAGAGAATAACATTAGCAAATTAATTGCATTTTGATAAGCTTAAAAATGCAATCTTAACATTGCAATGGGACTTCTATATGCATGGGATACAAAACGAGTCATCTTTTGGTAAATGGTACCCCTCCATCCGTTTTAATAGTGAAAAAGAGTTCCTCTTAGAGTTGTTTTAGAATTAGAGTATTCTCCCTTCTATATAAAAGGAGTTAAGAGTAACTTCCCCTGTGAACTTTGTTACATAGACTTTGTAGTTCATGGGACCTTGCAATATGAATTCATCCGAATTCTTCTTCTTAACCTGTACTTTTCTTTTGTATAAACTTTTATGAAAACTTGTTCAGAAATAAAGTGTAGAGCATTGCAATGGGATGGGATGAGCTTGGATAACACTATATGCCCCCTCCACATTCCAACCCACACCACAACAATTGAGTGATAGAGGCATAATAAATAATTTCTTAAATCAACAATGGTGTTTTATGCTGTGTGTAAGTAGAGTAAGCATGCACAAAGATTTAACAACCAAGATAACAATAAGTGGAAGGGTTTTATCATTATATTTGAGCTGCAAGTTAACAACTTCCAGGATACTTAAAACTAGGGTTGTTAAACCGGTCATATTTTGGTAACTGGTTACTCGAACAATCTTCCGATGGATAAACTGGTTAATCGGTCATCAAATAATAAACAGCAACAAACACAATATATGTGTAGAAAATGTTCTATCTAAAATGTATTTACACTACAAACATACAAGTATATATATTAATTAGCATTATAGTTTACTCGCATATTTCAGGCTAAACACAGGAAATAGTTGCATGTAACCTCAGTAAGTATAGTTCCTGGACAACAAATGTCGGATTGCAGGAAGACAGGATTCAATTAAAGTTATATGTACTCGAAATCATCTGCGGTATTATTGCTCTTTTTGCTTGACAAACATTTTTCAGACATGCTTGTTCATTCAAGTGTATACACTTCTGATTATATTTACATGTCGCATGTAAAAGCACATTCTATCTCTTAAAGTTTGTATTTCGCAACTTTGTATTCTGGCTTCCTTTTAGAATCTGTTCAGATTATTATGGTGCTGGCGGCATCTCTCGGTCAGTATTTACAATAGAGTACAAAATTAAAACTAACATGTCATCCCTGAACACTGATGTTTTTAATACAAAACTATCCAATTTTGGTCGAATCTATGATAATTTGTAGGTAGGTCTAAGCCAGGGAAACATAGGGCTCCCCAAAAGGATAAGTAAATGTTCGACTATTCGGTTAATCCAACCCTACTTGAAATAATAGAATACTCTCTATGATACATGTACCAAAACTGAAACTGGAAATGCGGGTATAGGACATTTACAATGTAACAAATATATGAAACATAATCTTTAAACATGTACATGTAATATGCTGAAAAGATATTGAAATGTTGTACATGTATTTAAAAGCTGAACACAACGCATCACATACAGTAATACATATGGGTAGTTTGTTTCATATGACTCAAATTTTTAATTTTTTAAAGTTAGTTTGGACTATATGTCGATTCCGGGATACTTTTTCTCACGAGATTCGACCAGGTTTTAGATACACATGTCATGTGATAGGGGGGATGTGTACTTCAAGTATACACTGAAAAATTGAGAGTTGCATAAAACAATACGCAACAAAACCAGGCTGCATGTCTAACAACAGGGGACTTAATTATATATAGTCAGCAGATATCCATTTCTTGATAATTTTCAAATTTCTGCCATTTTCGTCCAAATTTTTACCAATGCTTTTCTTTAGTTGGTTTGCCATTGATTTACTTTTACACTGGAAGTATACATACCCCCTTAATATACCATGTGACTGCCAAATCACATGACTTATTAAATATTAATATACCATGTGACTGCCAAATCACATGACTTTAATATACCATGTGACTGCCAAATCACATGACTTTTATTCTGGAAACTTTTATCATTGATTATTGACGGTGATAGATAAAATTAAATTCTGAAGGTATGATCTACCTTCATTACTGGATGGAACTTTCTGACTTACAGTTAACAACTTGTAAGTTATGACACCAACAATTTTCAAAAAATAAAGCTTAGAATGTGTATGTCAGTCCACAACTCCTCAGTTTAATATAATAGGTCACAGAGATTTTTATTCTGAATATTGTTCCTGATTTAACTCATCAGCATCTTGATCATAAGGTTGGAGTTCTAATTTCACCATTGTATCGGCAAAGTATTCTGGCAATGGTGCTTCTATCAGGAAGGATTCTGACTTTTTATGAGGAAATCTTTTTAGAATCAGTCCACTTCTGTGCAGATGCAATGGCACCAGATGAGCATGCACCCCGGGCGGTACGTTAAGTTTATGTTTGACTTCTGTCGGAATAACCTGCCAAAAAATCAAAACAGCTGTTACTATGTTTCTAAACAGGTTTTTTCAGTTTGGTTAGAATAGACAATATACAGGCTCATATAGCACAACCAGTGAAATGTTCATGTGCGACATTTCAATCACTTGTATAATATGTACTCATTACCCTTCTTTAGACTAATGACCAATAAAGCATACATTTTTATTTACACTGAGGTTTAAAATATGTACTAGTGATAATTGCTGTTGACTTGGAAATTCTCGAAGTGTACCAAGTATGTACACTTGGATGTACAAAACGACGACCAAATCCACAAATCGATTCGGCTATGCTAAATGTTTATACCTGGTCATAGATGTGCAAGAGTCTATGATGGTGATTTTTTGACAACTCGTACACATTGTACACCTTTGTGTATATATGCTTTACTGGTTGTGCTATGTTATTCTTTATACAAGTTGTTACTATGGTCATAGTTAAAGTACATGTCATAAATAGGAGGCACGGTAGTCTCGTGGTAGGACGCCGGGCTCGTGACTGAAGGGTTGCGGGTTCGAGTCCAGGCACGGCACTTTGTTGTATCTTTGAGCAAGATACTTTACTCTGCTAGTATGTGGTTGGGCAGTGCTAGAACTGTAGAATACTAGCTGTGAGCTCCGAAATGGCAGCAGCCGCTGTATGCTCCCCAGGGAATTGAGAAAGGTATTGGCTGGTTGCAAAGGCCCTATAACCAGGGATAATAGTTTGAGAACCGCCTTGAGACGACCTTCAAACTACTAGGTTGTGATAAAGCGGTATATAAGAACCTCAAATTATTATTATAAATAGAAAAGAGAAAAATTCAGTGATTTAACATAATGGTAGACCCATAGACAATCACCATAAAAAACACTGTAGGTCTAATACTATGGAATTTCAAGTAACACATTGTCTATGAAGTTATTTCTGATGTCAGATGTGTATGTTTAACAGTGAGCGGAAAACATTTTTGTGTACAATTATTTTTCTTAATATATTTCTTAATTTCATGTTATCAAGCACAAAATACCTAAGTCAAGGCGTGGTTATACAAATTTCAGAAAGAAATCTTATTGTCCACACCTATTGTCTACCGTATATAAATCCTAAATTCTAAGGCTCTGATCTCCATTTAATGCTTGAGATGTAAATCTAATGTTTTTAGTTGAAAAAGGATATTGAGTAATATTGAGAATTCTGGCTATATCATCATTTTCTAAGTACCTAACTTTCTTTATATGTGTGCTTTTGATGTACACAAACAAGAAAACCTTTATTAAAGAAAGCAGAATATAAGTACATGTACCTGAGGGCCTCGGATGGCTGCGTTTTGATCATTTTTGACAGCCACTCCAGCCACTGTTATTACACGATGAGAATAAACATGATCTCCAAGGATAGGACTCAAATGTTCTGCCATATACATTTCTAAACACTCCTTCTTCCCTGTAAACAAAATATAACATTTAGGTAAATAAAAAAATTGGGTGTTAACTGTAGTCCATAATAAAAAGGAATTAGCAGCTAGACAATTTTTTTCTTCAAATTTTACAAATTATTTTTAGAGTAGAGATTTAGAGACTTTTTTCCAAGTGTTCACCCCAAGCATACAGCCAGTATTTGAAACAAGGGTTGGTCATAGGCACCAGGAACAGGAGAAAGGATTCGTGCAAAATGGTCAAATCATAGTTAGAACCAGACCTCAAAAGTTCACATCGAGGCTCTAATCAACTGAGATATTGGTCACAAGCAGTCACCAGGTCCTGTCCTGCTTCACCCCTGTATTACCCGAGTTACACAATGTATATCCGGTATCCCTAACTCGTTATATAATGTACATTACATCTTGGTTCTTTGCCAAGTCACTGACATTATTATGACTTGGTCAAACACGTAAGTGATCCTTACCGCTGTCACAAGTAATGCCTACGAGAGAAACTTTTGGAGTTGTTTCCAGGGGGCTTGTGGCCAACACGTCTGCCTTAACGTTGAAACTAGACAATAGTCCTTTCTTCATGTACCTGCTGAAGTGTGGCACCAAGACGGCCTACCATGATATAAAACACATTATAACAATAACAGTTAGGAGTCCAGCGAAGAGAATCCTTAGAATGAAACCTGTGTTGGAAAATATCAAAAAAAGTAAAATGCTTTTATACAAACAGCTACATGCCATACATCATGCTTTTAGGGTAATTTTTTCGATACAGAAAATCTCAGCAATTTTACACCATTGACAATTCCAATTTTTACAGTATGCTCAAACAGCCTACAAATGTTACACAAACAACTTATCTTAAGTATTTTCAAGTATTTTGCTGCAGGAAAAAGACCGGTGTCTTGACTTTATTTAGTAATGTTTAGGCAGACACTACATGTAACTGATGTAATCAAACGATTATGTATATCCTTTCTTGAGTATTTTCTAGGTTGTTTTTTTTCTATGTGTATTTTTAACCCTTTCACAACTATGAAACGTCCATTATGGTCTAGTGGTGACAATCTAAAGTGCAAATTGTGAATGTAAAAAAAAACATTTTCTGTTTATTTTTTGTTTGAGTCATAAAAAAATAATTTTAAGTTTGATTTGAATCTGAAAATATTGCAGCAACTTCCAACACATAATGACATTATCGTTAAATCACAAAATGTGTTTACTGAAACATCAATGAAGACCACAGTAATGATTTCATAGGAGAGCTTAAATATGTTGAAAACCATTTTTCTGCATCAAATTTTAAACACTGCTTTACCCCTGTGAACCCTTTCCAGTGCCTAACACTTCTGACACCTTATACAGATAATTTATATTCAAGTCATACAATTAGATTGTAAGAAAAAGAAAGAATATGATAATCAACCTCTTATGTCTTAACACTTAACTACGGTAACCATACCTGTTGACGTCCATTGATGTTATTCCGTAGATAGCGAACTTTCTCGACTTCTGTCTTAAACTTCGGTTCACCCAAGCAAACACATCTGTTGTAGGCAATAATAAGAAACTTTCAGTGTTTTTTAATCTGGTGACTTTTTGGGTCCGATAATGGAACCTATTCCCAATTGAAACTATTTCATATTTACGTCTAATTCCCAAAATTTGCTGTTTACTACTGAATATTTACTTCCAAATTGGTACATTTTCTTCCCAAAATAAGACAGTAAGCCCCCATCCCAAATTAACGGTAAAAAAACCTGATTTAAAAATTTAAAATAGCAACATTTTTTAAAATGTTTTACTAGCTTCAGTTTCTTCAAATGGAAATAGTAACCATACTTAACAGCACATTATAATGATGTGGTTTCTAATCGTCAAGACCATAATGACACATTTAAAACAGATAACTTTATTTGTACCAAAAAAATCGGGTCATAAAACACAACATATATATCCCGCTTTTGGCGCAAAACATATCTCTCCCCCAACCCCTATTTATTTATAACTCCCATACCGTCCACCCATAAAAAAAAAGAGAAAAAAGCTATGCTTTTATGACTAGACTAGACTTCGTCACATAATTGAGAACAGCAGCAGCAGTTAAATGTCTTTCAGAAATGATGTTTCAAACAGGAGTCCCAATGGGCCTGCATTGATCTAACACTTGCTACCTAACAAGAATTACGTGTAATGAGATGTCTTGCCTGTCCCCACTTTGTGCATAAGATTCAATGTGTCAAGCGTTGTAAGTTTGAGCCGAAATTCGGAAATTTACATTTTTATAAACAATTTGGCAATACATGGAGGTATAAAAGGAACAAGTGCTAATTGTAATGGGAGCCGGCCATTACAGATATCCCCCAATGCGAACTACCCCCAAATTTGGAAAAACAAATGTAAAAGGGAGAAAGGAAGTTGCAGTGCCATAATACACGTACATACCAAATTTCAGCGAAATCAAAATACATGTATATGTGAATTTCGATCAATCATGCAGAAGCAAGTATATGACGAACATCTTGTCAGATCAGAAAACGGATGCTGCGGTTGAGTTCACAGTGCAAAAATACACTTACATACCAATTTTAACAAAATTAAACAATAACTGAATTTCGACCAATCAGAAGCCAATTATTATATTGTGGCCATTTTGTCAAATAATAACATGAATGCCATGGATGAGCTGGCAGTGCCAAAATACATATACATACTAAATTTAACAGAAATTGAACAGTAACTGAATGAGATCAGGAAACAGAAGTCACAGTTGAATTCATAGTGCCAAGATACATCTATACACCAAATTTGAGCGAAATCGAACAGTAACTGAATTTCGACCAATCAGACCCAATATACGGCAGCCATTTTGTCAAATCAGAAAACTGATGTTGAGGCTGAGTTTGCAGTGACAAAATACACCTTCAAATAAAATTTGAGCAAAATGGAACAATATCTGAATTTCTTTGAATATGAGTCAAGGTCCTTTATTTGGACAAAACTGGTAGCACTTCACCCGAGCACTTTACCATCCACATATCATCACCCTGGTCCTTTTGGTTATTCAGAAGATGTTGTTTAAATATTTAACATGTTTGACCCCTGTGACCTTGAATATGGGCGAAAGTCATTATTTTTAACAATCTTGGTAGCATGCGCACCCTTCATCCTTGAATGATACTTGCTAAATATTATGACATAGGTCTCTTAATTACTCAGAAGAAATTGTTTAAAGTAAAAAATTATACCGGACAGTAGTCTCACCATAGGATAAGCGCACTGGGCCCTTCAGGCCAGGTGAGCTAAAAACTAGCTAACATCACAATCAATCAAATATACTTACACAAATTCATGATTGATGTCTTGATACGATCTTGCCCCTTGCAGTGACCTCTTTAACTTCACTTTGGCCAGGGCATGCTTGCTTAATAATATAATGCCACTCTGGTTTCTGAAAAAAAATATTAAGCTAATGTACAGATCTCTTCACAACAAGTGTAACTTTTACACGATCTGTAGCTGTAGACTTGTTTTATAAGATGGAGCTTGAGACGGGAATCTTATAGAATCTTGTACAGGTTGACAGTATCAGATGTATACTACAGGAATTATATTTTTACATTAAAGATTCTAATGCACAAATTTAAACAACTTTGTATATAAATGTAGCTAATTTTGTACAGACTTAACCCAATATCCATAGTATTCCAATTACTGTATCTATATATTACCTTGATAATCCTAGCATATATTCAAGTTCTGGAGTATCAAAACATTCTCTTAAATCTTCCAGTATATCAGCCATTGAGGGAACGCCTTCACCATGTAAAGCTGAAATACCAGATAAACAATTAGTAAGATTGATGTCCATAAAAAACAAGAGGCCCAGCGGGCCAGTACTGCTCACCTGGAAGTTTTATGACGGGGCAAATCTAGCAAGCATATGTGTATTCAAATCTTCATACTAACCAAATGCAAATACGCAATGTATTATAATAGGGTTAGGGCCTCAAAGTTTATGACCCAATGACTAAGTCCCTAAGAGAGTGGCTACACCACAGAGTCAATTATAATACCATGACTGTAACCATCTGTTTATGCCCAGAAATTGTGTATATATGGCTAAAAAGAGGGGATCTCAACAGTTTCAAAGTTATGACCAAGGATTAAGTCCCTAGAGGTGGGGCCAGATCCCAGTTTCAATTCTAACAAGAGGCCCAGAATGCCTGTATCACTACCCTGGATATCTAAGCAATCACGGCAAAATGTTCTGCAAATAAGATCCAAGGGATAGGGCTAGACCCCAAGGCCAATCTTTGTAGCATATCTGTATTCAATTTTTAATGCCCAGCAATTTTATGTAAGGTTATGGGGTGGGGATCTCAACTGTTTCCAAGCTGTGACTCAGAAACTAGGTCCCTAGGGTTGGGCCAGACCCCAGGATCCATTCTAATATCAAAACTGCATTCGTCTCTTTATGCCCTGCAATTGTATGTATAGTTTTGAGGTAGGGATCTCAACTGTTTCAAAGTTATGACCCAGGGTTTAAGTCTGCAAGGGTGGGCCAGACCATGGGGTCATCCTAGAAGCATATGTGCATTCGTCTCTTTATGCTCAGCAATTGTATATATTGTTATAGGGTGGGGATCTCAACTGTTTCTAAGTTGTGATTCAGAATCTAGGTCCCTAGGAGTGTGGCCAGACCCAAGGGTCAATGCTAATATGATGAGTGTGTTCGTCTCTTTATGCCATGCTTTTATATATTTAGTTTTGGGTTGGGAATCTCATCTGTTTCAAAGTTATGACCCAGGGACTCAATCTCCAGGGGTGAGGCCAGACCCCAGAGCCATTTTTGAAGCATCCGTGCATTCATCTCTATATACTCAGCAATTTTATATATGGTAGGGTGGGGATATATCAATCATTTCCAAGTAATAAACTATTTTTGCCCCACCTCTTAGCCCGGGGGTTCAGTCTGTCAATTTGCGCAATTGTTAATCCCAACCACCTAGGTATACTTCCAACAAAATATATTTGATATCCATCGCTAAGTTCAAGAGAAGAAGCTGCTTAAAGCAATATAGCCAAATTACCTTGTATGGCCCGACTCTCAGCCCCTGGGTGGTCAGCCCCACCATTTGTTCAATTTTTAATCTCAACCACCTAGGGATGTTTTCAACTTAATATTGTTGACATCTCTCTCTTAATTTCAGAGAAGAAGTTGCTTAAAGCATAACTTGAAGTAGTTTAATTTGGCACACATAGAAATCAAAAGCTTTTCAGGTTCATTTGTACATAATTATAGATAACCATATATGAGGCTTTCAATTTACTCAGCAAAGGAACTTTTGGGTATGTTCATACTGGATACTCCAGGGGTTATGCTCACTTTCACTCTCTGCACCCCTGGAATATGTCACAGCAAAATTGAAGGCACACGGCCAGCTATTTGATTGGTATTAGGTATTAAACAAGAGGCCCAAGGGCCTTAGCGGTCACCTGAGTTATATCATAGGTACTGGTAGCTTTATTTTATTGTTTAGATGTGATGTGGAAATCAGCATGTAACCTAAGTGAAATATAATACTTGTCATGTCATCAAAGGATAGGAATTTTAAAATATTTGTAAATGTTCCCTTTGGGGCCCCGCTCTAACCCCTGGGGATGGGGCAGGAATTCCAAGTTTACAATTTGATACCGTCATCCACCAAAGATGATTCTGACCAAGTAAAAATAATTTCCAACAGAAAATTGTCAAAATATACCCAAAAGTGTTGTTTCCCTATATAAACTATAGTAAACTTTACCCCCTCCCCAAGGGAGAACGGATAGCTCGGGGGTCCTGAAATTTACAATTTAAATAAAGCCCCTGATGATCTTTCCATCCATGCAGAGAAAATGACTGTAATACCTCTGAGTCTGGAGAAGAAGATTTTTGAAATATTGGTTAATTTTCCCTTTTGGGCCCCGCCCTGGCCCCTAGGGTTGGGGTAGGAATCCCAATTTTACAATTTAAAACCATCTTCCTCCTCCAAGGATGATTCTGACCAAGTAAAAATAATTTCCAACAGAAAATTGTCAAAATATACCCAAAAGTGTTGTTTCCCTATATAAACTATAGTAAACTTTACCCCCTCCCCAAGGGAGAACGGATAGCTCGGGGGTCCTGAAATTTACAATTTAAATAAAGCCCCTGATGATCTTTCCATCCATGCAGAGAAAATGACTGTAATACCTCTGAGTCTGGAGAAGAAGATTTTTGAAATATTGGTTAATTTTCCCTTTTGGGCCCCGCCCTGGCCCCTAGGGTTGGGGTAGGAATCCCAATTTTACAATTTAAAACCATCTTCCTCCTCCAAGGATGATTCTGACCAAGTAAAAATAATTTCCAACAGAAAATTGTCAAAATATACCCAAAAGTGTTGTTTCCCTATATAAACTATAGTAAACTTTACCCCCTCCCCAAGGGAGAACGGATAGCTCGGGGGTCCTGAAATTTACAATTTAAATAAAGCCCCTGATGATCTTTCCATCCATGCAGAGAAAATAACTGTAATACCTCTGAGTCTGGAGAAGAAGATTTTTGAAATATTGGTTAATTTTCCCGTTTGGGCCCCGCCCTGGCCCCTAGGGATGGGGTAGGAATCCAATTTTACAATTTGGTAGCCTCATCTACCAAGGATGATTCTGACCAAGTTTGAAAAAATTACATCCACTGGTTCTTGAGAAGAAGTTGATAATGTAAAAGTTTACGCACGACGCAAGACGGACGACGAACGATGGACGAAAGACGACGGACGACGACGGACGGAAAGCGATTGGAATAGGTCACTTGAGCAAAGCTCAGGTGACCTAAAAAATGTTACCAATCTCTAGGCTGATTCCTGTCCTTTAAAGATTACAGAGGAGCGACACTTGACTTCAAAGCCAGTCAGTTTTACTATTATGCAACCAACATATTTGATTTCTTTTGATGTACATCAAAGGATCAAACTAGTTTTGTTGTCTCACCTACAAGGTGATGCACACTGCACTTTCCAATTTTCCATGACATCTTCAAGGGGTGCAGAGAGCGGAATTGTAAACCCTGGAGTATCGAGGGTGGGTCTGTTAAGTGAGTATCGAGGGTGGGTCTGTTAGGTGAGTATCGAAGGTGGGTCTGTTAAGTGAGTATTGAGGATGTGTCTGTTAAGTGAGTATTGAGGGTGGGTCTGTTAAGTGAGTATCGGGGGTGGGTCTGTGAAGTGAGTATCAAGCGTGGGTCTGTTAAGTGAGTATCGAGGGGGGGTCTTTTAAGTGAGTATCAAGGGTGGGTCTGTTAAGTGAGTATCGGGGGTGGGTCTGTGAAGTGAGTATCAAGCGTGGGTCTGTTAAGTGAGTATCGAGGGTGGGGCTGTGAAGTGAGTATCAAGGGTGGGTCTGTTAAGTGAGTATCGAGGGTGGGTGTTTTAAGTGAGTATCAAGGGTGGGTCTGTTAAGTGAGTATCGAGGGCGGGTCTGTTAAGTGAGTATCGAGGGTGGGTCTGTTAAGTGAGTATCGAGGGTGGGTCTGTGAAGTGAGTATCAAGGGTGGGTCTGTTAAGTGAGTATCGAGGGTGGGTCTTTTAAGTGAGTATCAAGGATGGGTCTGTTAAGTGCCAATGCTATAAGCTCTATTTGCAAAATGCAATGTAGCCATATTAACATTGGTCAAATTTTCATTTTTTCCGTTGGGAAAGATATACTGCATGTGTGGAAATATAAGTATCAATGTTTGACAAATTTATATCATTGTTTTAACAATTTACTATAAATAGTAATAGTAACCTTGATCTTGACGTTAGAACTCTGAAAAAAAATGTTCATGGTATACACTTGAGCAAAAACACAAACAAAAACATGAACACTTTTGCAAGTAAAGAAGTGTAGGAATTAAATCCACTATGTTAATTCAATGCCCTAAAAATATAACTGTTTCTATAAGGAAGTAACTTTACCTTTTATAGGAACTCCACTTGGTTTGTTCAATGCCAATATGTTTTCTGTAAATAAATAATTAGCATAATTGTACAAATAAGGTTCTATTTATTTAGATACTATATAGGATGATATTTCATTTAATCTTTTCATAACTATTTTGTATTTGTTGAAATTAGAAACTGAATCTTTAAAACTTTTTTTTAATTCACTTTAAAAACATGTACAGTACTAACACTGCTAACATTTATAATATATCCTGTTACGTTAACTAAATCACACAAATTATATAACATTAGCTACACTTAGTCCCACACTGAAAAATTACGCAAGAATAAAACGAATTGAGCAGCACATACACTTTGCTTATGAATCACTGAATTTTTGTTTTAGTGTATACTGTAACGGGACTTGTGGCGTGTCAGGTTCTACTCCGACAGTCCCTATCCTTTAACTGACATCATTTCTTACTTCTTCCAGGTTCATTGTGAATGTACATTTTGGTAATAATACAAAATAGGTTCTAGAAACTGGTCTAATAGAAAACTAGAAGAGTTATATATAAATTTTGCTTACACTAATGGAATTTTTTTTATCAGCGTTGCATGAGGACCATTTATTTACATTAAGTTTAAAATTTACAAACACTAGTTTTGTTCAGGAACCCTATTTGTTTTGACATGTTTATGACTAATAATATGTCCTCAAATTATATGAATCAATAATTAAGACGACTACTCCCAAACCCTAAATAGAAATCTAAGTTACCTAAAATGTCACCAGATCGACCATACAGGAACCCTTATAATTACAACCATACTTTTGATGTCTGGCCCAAAACAGAAGAACAGATTTGTGAACATGCACGTTTTATAATCCCGAATCCCCCTATGCACGCACAAGCCTCTCATCACCCAATGGACATCGACCAGCAGGGGTGCTGCATCACAGTAATATCCGACAAAGACTGTCTAGTCTATAATACGTACTATTAAATATACAATACAAAACTACATACCATCATCGTAAACAACACTCTTTTGAATATGCTCGATTAAAAGTTCCTTTTCTGCAAAGACTGGTGCATGCAATGAGTTCCTATCCTGGTACGGCTGCTGACTTGCTGTTTCGACACATCTTACAGGAGTGTACACGTCCTGCAATTTACTTATCCTGTGGACATGTCTCATCATGGAGTAGGTCCGCAAACAACAGGAGCTGGTCTTCATAGAAGCCATTTTGTAACATGAATTTCAAATTTTGACGAGGTAATGCAACTTGATGTTTCTTTCCACACTGTTAAAAAAATGTTTATACGTTAATTATTAGTATATTTTACCATAGGTGTCAATCACCCGGATTCATACTTGCCAATTCTCCCCATTTAGGAGGGAGACTCTCGATTTTGGACCCCAAAATTGAGTATTATCAACCTGTGAATTTGCTAAACAGGGAGTATTCTTATTTTCTACGATGTGATGATTTCACCCGTTAGAACAGCTCAAATGATGCCGTCTAATTATAAAAGTGTTATTTTTCCCTAGGGCGTACATACACACATTTTATTTATGCTGTTATGTTAATTCTGAGCACACCTAATCTCCCCCATGGAAATTTCAGAAAGTTGGCAAGTATGCAGACTGTGAATGACGGAAAATTCATAAAATTAGCCCAAACCCGATTTGGTACATCTCCAACATCGGGGGTCAATTTAATCCCAAATTTTGGAAATGAAAAGAATTAAGGATCATATGAGGTCATTTGTTTTTTTATTTATTTTTCAATTTTGATACTGAAGTCATTAGCCCTATTATTATATGCTCAACAAAGTGAGATTTTTGCTATAAACACTTCGTCCCTGTACAAAAACGATGGAATGAGGTAGATCTCCCACATTGGAGGTTTCAGAGGTTGACACCTAAATTCTTTGCTTAATTTTAAACTGTTGAAGATCCAAATGCCTTTATGAAACTTTTATTGCATCAAGCATGTGCAGTGCACCACTTCTGAATCAAGTGTCATCCAGATGTGACCTTACATTGCTTCTGATGAGGAAACAATTTCTATAGGCCAGGTACTAATTAATATAATATCATTACTGTACTTTCACCAATTGAGCCACCTGGTAGGTGGCAGTAAGAAGTCTATAGTTTCGCTTCATTCCTCCCTACTGACATTTTCATAACTTTATTTCAGATATTGGCTACCCAGGTATATGTAATGATAAGATCAGAAATATGCTGAACACAAATACTTCTTCCTTTTGAATGTTTTTATTATATATTGTTTAATTGCAATAAAATTGCATAGTACGTATAATATTCATTACTTTATTTCCAGAATATTTTCTTAAAACGTATACATTCAAATAATTCATAACACCCCTCCATCTGCATCTGGTATGTAATTCAAATATGTGAAAATATGAAACAGTCTTGACCCTATGTACCCTCATATATATTCTGAATACAGGTTCTGAGCAGAGAAATTATAGAATTGAAGACTATTCTTTATTTTCAAATATATATACGAACCAGATGCAGATGCCTGTGACAACACTTTGTTGATTTGCTGTTTGTTAACTTCATAAGATTTTGTGTTTCTGAAAATGCAGTGTAGAGAAATTAATTAAACTAGACTGTGTCAATCGTCAGCGACCAGGGTAGCTCAATTTGTAGAGCATCCGTCTTGGGTTTGAACCTCTGTATGGCCGTGCATTTGTCCTCTTCTACAACAGTAGCAGTAGGATAACCTAGTTTTGATGAGTGCATAATATAGATTTCTAGAACAAATAAAATCAAACAAAAAATAACAAGCGAAGTTAATTTTCTTGAGGCCTGTTCGTTTATCTGTTGATGTGGATCAACCGATTTCTCTTTTTTTTTTAAATGTGATATTCCAGTCAGCTGGTAAAACCACGGAATTCTATAGCTAATTTAATTCCGTGGTAAACAAAATTAAAACCACCTAATACTAGTACAACAGATAAACGTAATAGGCTATGGCTGGATTTTTGGTAAAACCTAACGAGTGACGGACCTGCAAATAACAATGCTAATGTAGGTCTCTGGCGTCTCGTCAGATAACAACATCAAATCACCAGGTCCATCCCTATTTCATAAAAGAACAGCCTTGTCACCTCGATGTTCAGCCTCCTGTCACGTTCTTGAGCTCCAATGCGACTCCAGTACAATTGAAAGTCAATCGGGGTTATTCGGGCGTTTGTCGTAAATATCGCTAATCAACGTATAAGCGTTTTCGTAACTTCGATGTAAACACGTGGTCCTAACTTGTGCAATATTTTGTGTGTCAGATTTTCTTACTTTGACAGAAAAAGCAGCGAGAGGAATACTTATACATCTGGTAAGACTTCAAAACTAGTATAAACTACCGGCCACCACATGTACAGTTCTACTTTTGTATATCATTCTTAAACATACAACGTGAATTGTTGGGTATTTTATGACTAATTCGTCCATATTGTTTTTGTGTAGGGCCTATACCTTTTTTTAGTATGCTCAGGGATGTGTACTTCACATCCCTGGTATGCTTCATGCTTTTTTTCCTGATAAAAGGTTAAGAGACTTGAAAAAGTGGTAATACATGTATCCTGTATATAGATTCAGTAAGATAATTAAAGCTTTTAAAAGTGGTCATGCATGATTGACATGATAAGAGATTTGATATATATATAAAATGACATTTTTTCTTTATTCAAAAACAAGTCCCATCATATAGTTTTACTTTTGTATGATGATCGAGATGTGTACTTTATATTTCAGCTTTATACAAGGTATAACTTCGATAAATCTGAGCCAATTACAATGGCTAAAAGTCTTCGCTGCAAGTTCCGAAAGAGGATGAGGAATGTGAAAAGAGAGAAATATGGAAAGAAAGAGCTTGAAAGGTTGAAGACAATGATTGAGACAAGTGGTGGACAGGATCAAGAAGTAAAGGAAATCTACAAAGGTAAGAACAATACTTATGTAACAGGAGCAGAAAAATGCACAGCCAGACCGGGGTTCGAAACCGGGACCCTCTGAACTCTAGATGGACAATTTAAACCAATTTAGCTACCTGGTTGGCGGCGATCGACCCAGTCCAGTTCCCCTACATTCTATTCCTCCCTCTTTTATCAAAATGTGTTGAAGACACACAAGACCCTATACATGTACCACCTTCTGTGGGTATATTTTGTTGGGTGCCAATTGTAAGAACAGCAGAAATGCACGACCAGCCCAGAGTTCAAACCCTGGACCCTCCAAACTCTGGACCGACGCTATAACCATTTTAACAAGCAACCCAGTCCAACTCGGCTACATACATCCCTCCTAATTAACAAAGTCTTTAAATTTGCCCCTTATAAGACAAACAAGACCCTATACCACCTTCTGTGGGTGTATTTTGTTTGGCATCAAATGCAACAGAAACAGAAAAATGCACGGCGAGACCAGGGTTTGAACCAAGGATCCTTCGCACTCCAGACAGATGCTCCAACCAATTGACACAGTCCAGTTCCCCTGAATAAATTACCAATGAAACAGTGTTAAGACCATTCCCCATTCCTTCAATTGTTTACATATCTTGCTGTTACAATTGTTCAGGTTCATATTGGAAAGTATGCCCTAGCTCACTTAATCTGAATAGATATCTTTTGTGGATAGTGGCATACAAAGCTGATCATAGCACATTCATTTAGTAGTTTTCTTTTAAAAAGTTATGTGTGTGCTCATTTGATGATAAATTGGTCACATTGACAACTTGGCTATTAAAACAAAAAATATTTGGTGTTTCCGTTAGCCCTACCTACCTTCTACCTTAAGTTTTTGTGCCTTACCCTAAACTTTTTAAAGCAATTTTCAAAGAAGCAATGATAAAGTCAAGATCACTCTCCTATATAAACCATATAAAATTATTTAAAATAAAATTTGTTACCTACCTCCCTACCCTAAATTTGTCCAACATGTTATAGGAAACACATGTATTTTTTTATCTGGCACAATGTTATTGAAATGATCGAATATGATGCTTTAAGATAGTATTTATATATAGGCAATCTGACAAATTAACATTTCTAACTTTGTAATTTTAGTAAAAACAGCAGAAGAACTGAAGGAAGAAATGGAAAAGAAAGCAGGTATGTTAATATATAAAAACAATAACGAAACATGACATTATGTCAAGTTAATTAAATACCACTGTACAATGTGCTACCAACATTTTACATTTAATTCATAAATTATCAATTTATGTAGACAGTCCTGCAGAAAACACACGTAGAAAATGTACTATCATGTTGATCCTTCCTAAAGATATATTTTATAATTGTTGTATTTTAAATGACTGAAGGAAAGCTTGAATGATATCAAATTTTAGATCATTGTGAAGACTGAAGGAAGTATACATTCATTTTAAATTTCAATGAACTGAAGGAAAGATCCACATGGTTTCATTTCTTCCAAGTATTCTGATCTGAACTGCAGCGATGCTCATTAATTCCTAGATCATAACCTACTTCAACCTCAAAAGTATTCTGACAAACACTAAAGGAAGGGTTGAAAAGATATCAAAGCTTCTGACAAACACTAACAGAGGGGTTGAAAATATATCAAATATTCTGACAAACACTAAAGGAAGGGTTGAAAAGATATCAAAGCATCTGACAAACACTAACAGAGGAGTTGGAAAGATATCAAAGATTCTGACAAACACTAAAGGAAGGGTTGAAAAGATATCAAAGATTCTGACAAACACTAACAGAGGGGATGGAAAGATATCAAAGATTCTGACAAACACTAAAGGAAGGGTTGAAAAGATATCAAAGCTTCTGAGCTTTCTTTAATTTGTGACCAGGACAGAACTTGTTCTGCTAGGTTGATTGATAGTGATACTGGCATACTTGTATATTATTAGTGTTATTACACTAATTTAACAAATATATGAATATATGGTACTGTATAAAGACAGAAATTGATTATGTTTAATATATCACATTGTAATTGTAGAGGACACTATGGAACACAGTGGGAAATCTTTCCACCCTGTGACATTAAAAGACGAAGATGGACATTACCCAGGTTGGATGAACCAAAGGGCAATAAAACGACACAAGACATACCTGAAGAAATCGGGAAGAGTCAAAACCAAACCAAAGGCCAAAGGCAAGACAGGAAAGAAAAAATGATTTGATGTAGGAACATTTATTTGTTATCATAACTACTAACAAGGACAGATATTAAAGAAACAGTTTCTTCTGTTGCTTTTGATGAAAATGTTTTCTAGTTTTAAATGGAAGGATTCTGCAAAACTATAAAGATATACATGAAAATGATGAAATCTCAGTTATATCCATAAAGATTAATTATTGGTATGGGTACCTTCAAGTTATATAAGACTTTTATTGTCGGTTTAATACATTGTAATAAAAGTCTGTATTAATAAAATGGAAGAAGAGAGTTTCTTTGAGCATAGTAATAGTGGTTAATCCTTTATAGATGTAGAATAAGACCTGGATATAAATTGATTCAAAATTGACCAATATTTTACTGTGGGTTGGCATTGTTTGTGTATGCATGCATCATGCCTACATGCCTGGAGAAGTAAAGTGTAGTATGACAGAGATTGTGATTGTGGGAGTGTATGATATGAGATAGATGTACATGTATATGTTGCACTGTATTTAAAAAAAAACACAGAATAAAAGTTAATTCTGGTTATTGTCTTTGATATTTTTTGTATTTGATAACAGTGATTCAAGATGCTAGTACATATGACTTGTACACATATTAGTTTCCCAAATTAGTAATGCATCAATTAGATGCATCCTTAAAAAACCCACTGTGGCTGGAGACAGTAAACTGTCTCAGTTAAAATATAAAGGGTGAATTTTATCTTTGCTTCAACCCTTATTTTACACTATTCTTAGCATACATAACTAAAGTGTTGTTTATTGGAGTGGTGAATGCATATGTGATTTAGCCATGAAAACATGAATGCATAAAGTATATCCCACATTTAAATATTTTTGAACTAGCATTGATGAAGACAAGGAAATGTCAATTTGTTACATTTGCAAAGGACAAACATGTTGGTGAAGTTACAAAACCTCATGACCTCTACATCTGATACCAAGTAGATTATATATATATAATTCTGTGCTAAAAATGTAATAAAAAGATGATATTTAATGGTTTATATTTTATGGAAGTTAAAACTAATACTTTTACTGAAAATGCAACATTTCAAATTCAAACGGTACATTTTTGTTGGTATGTAAAATAACAGAAAAATAAAAAGAATGCAAGTTGATTGCCTTATGGAATGCATCTTATCCTATTTACAACAAGAGGCCCATGGGCCTTAACGGTCACCTGAGTCTATAGTATTTATTTGTGTTGTTGAAATATGTACCAATTTGAGTAAAAAATAGTATAATGTTAACTTAACTTTGTCAGGACCATGAGCTGATCATTCCTAGACCAATTTTAAGTGAGATCGGCCTATTAGAACTTAGTAGCAAAATAGCGGCCATGGCAGCCAAATTGTATTTCTGATTGACCCGAAAAATAAAAACACTTTGTCAGGACCATGATTCGATCATTCCTACAATGTTTCAGTTCAATCGGCCAAGTAGATCTTTACTTTTAGTTTGAAATAGTTTTCCAAAATGGCAGGCGTGGTGGCCATATTGGATTTCTGATCGACCCGAAAAATAAAAACACTTTGTCAGGACCATGATTCGATCATTCCTACAAAGTTTCAGTTCAATCGGCCTAGCAGAACTTGACTTTAAGTTTGTAATAGGTTTTCAAAATGGCGGCCGTGGCGGGCATATTGGATTTCTGATCGACCCGAAAAATAAAAACACTTTGTCAGGACCATGATTCGATCATTCCTACAATGTTTCAGTTCAATAGGCCAAGTAGATCTTTACTTTCAGTTTGAAATAGTTTTCCAAAATGGCAGGCGTGGGGGCCATATTGGATTTCTGATCTACCCGAAAAATAACAACACTTCGTCAGGACCATGAGTCAATCATTCCTACAAAGTTTTAGTTCAATCGGCCTAGCAGAACTTGACTTTAAGTTTGAATTGTAAAATGTTAACGGACGACGGACGAAAACGGATAGCAATAGGTCACTTGAGCTAAAGCTCAGGTGACCTAAAAATGTAATATAATAATGAGAGGAGTAGAGTACCTTGGCCTGATTTTGGTCATTTTGAACTGTACAGCAGTGACCTACTTTTTACAATGTGGGTTACATATACATATATTATATTATCCAGTAGAATGCATATAGCTGTAATCACTCTAAATATTTTGAAATTTGTTAAAGAACCAGATTTTCTATAATCATTCAAATAAATTACCATATTGTGCTCTTTTCAACTTCCCCCTCTCATTTTTCTATGCAAGGACTTCATAATTACCTATTTAACTACTAGACTAAGCAAAAAAAACAAGCATATCTGTTATTGCCGACTTAAGCATTGAAGTGGGAAGTCTTCTTTATTTTATATCCAAATAAAACAATTTTAATATTGCTTCACTTATACAGTATATAGAAATAAAATTATTTTTTTGGTAAACTTGATTAAAGAAACAAAAAATGACATACAACTTTTCCAATGTTAAAACAATTGTTGTTTTATTTCATTCATAGCACAATCATGTACTTTTATTCTGATCTGTTACACATACTTTCATTCAAATATTTCCTATCATAGCACATTTCACACTTTGTTCATGTATCATAAGTCACACTCTGCCATACTATATACATTATCTGTCATACTACTTCGAACATGAAGGGAAAGTCTCTCTTTGTCATGCCAGAGGTTATTGTGTGTGGAGATTTGGCTGGTTACATTCTTCAGTTTCCTTTGTGCATAATAGTTCAGAATAATTGACTAATTTCCTCTGTGCATAATAGTTAAGAATAACTGACTATCTTCTTTTACAAAATTTCTATTTCTGCCTCATTGATACATGTAACATTTTAAAAGGAGATACTAAAAGGATCCCAAAGAGAACTAGCACACCTTATTATCCACTAATCAACATTTCTAACAGATTCACAAAATTAGTGAATGCAGTCAAGATATTTCGGTCATTTTCTGTGATTTTCCATTACTCCATCAGATGCAGATAGTGTCACTTTGATTAAGATTTATGTGTTAAAGTTTTCTTCCATACTGTAAGTCTGATCTCTAACAATGACTTTCAGAAGGCTATCTTCTCTCTTAACCATCATGTGAGTTTCACTAGCACATGAGTACCATACTGCTTACTCTAGCTTTGTGTAAAAGCAGCACTGAACAGGAATCCTGTTTAATCATCATGTTTCTACATCTATTCATTTCTTGCATTATTCAATGCAGATCAAGAAATATTCACTTGACGCTTAACTTGGATCAATATGATCTAAGGTTTTGTTGAATGAACACGTGAACAACTGATGGTGATTTCTGCAATGCTATCTGCCACACAGATTTTCCAAGTTTTATTTCCACCCTCGAATATAGAACCTGTGATCATCACCACATGAAAGGGGCTCTTTCCCGTAACATGCGGACGTTGAACTGACGCCACTCGTGCTGTTTGATCCAGAGTTCCTGTGTGGTGTCCAGACAGGCTAGTACAGACGCTCCCTTCCAACAGGTGAGGGTTGGGTCCATGTCCTACAGCAGAGACAGATTTGTAGCAAAAGCCTGATACTTTAAGATGATGATTCAAATTCAATCATATGATTTATTTACTGTTTGTCATGTAAGAATGTCAATGATGTCCACATGCCGGGTATATTTAAGGAATAATGATATAAAGTTATATTCAGAGACAACCTTTAAAAGTACATACAGTGGTGTATTATTACAGGTAGCCTATCCATACAGCTTCAATTAACACAAAAAAAGTTCAATAGGGATTTTATAAAGGTGGTCTAGATTTTTAATACAGGTAATCTCTTATTAGAGACAGTCTTTTGAGCAGGTCTGACTAATGACCTTTTGTTGTGCTAATATGTCAATATTTATGGTACATTATTATGATCACTTGTGTGACTATAAAAGGACAATGATGGGTCTATATATAGCTTGGAGATGATTACATTTTTATGGTACATTTTGTATAATATAATTCTTGTGAGGACATTCAAAGTATTATATATAGCTGAAATAAGATGGATTAACTCTGGTGTGTGGCTGAAATCCCTTAAAATGTAAACCTGATTTTAAATATACTTGTCATGCAAGGACATTTTCGTTCTTTATATATAGGTAGATTAAGATTGAGTTTGGTGGTATGATATATTTACCTTCTGTCGTGTGAGTACGTCCATGGTTTCTAGCATAAGTCTGTACTGGGGAGGCATGCCTACCCAGACCCGGTACTGCAGCCACTGCTGGGCCTCCTCAAACATCATCCCACCTCCCACCACAATGATACAGCTATACATCTTCTTCTTCACCTCGTCACTCCCTGTGTAATGAAAAAGTAGAGAAACTGAGCAAGATCACAAAATTATAACACCCCCCATGCACATCCATGTATGTTGTACTTTCACTGTGTCAGGTTACAGAAATATCCAACCAACTGTTTAGGAGAAGTTGTGCCTACAAGCACGACATGGTGATTTCTACTTACCTACCACGCCCAACTCAAAGTTTGGGGGTGTAGTAAACATACAGACAAAACTTAGTTCCAAAGGGACTTAAACATTAAACCATTAATTCATGAAAATCTTTGTTAATGCAAAGACATATATATTACAAATCTCTGTTATTATAAATCTCTGTAATATATATGTCTCTGGTTAATGTTATGAATTGATTAGTACTGTTTCGCAGACATTAGTTTTCCATATATTGGCCCCTATTGTTAACTTGATATACCACAGTACATTCCTATAGTCTTGTTTATGTTAACAGAAGGTAACTTTCTATTTATACTGATGATGATAATAATTCTTTGTATAATGGACAGAAAATGAAATTTTTTGATATTTATGCAAAATAACGGAAAGTTTGGTTTTTGGTGAATATTGATTCTTATTACAATCTTATTAAAACACAGATGTCTAAATGACCTTTTGACATTCTGATGAGGCTTAGGATCATGAAAACTTTCAACTGAAGTGATAATTTGAGGTAAATGTACAATTTTTGAGTCCCATATCAAAATGTTATGATATTAATATGTACTTACAGTAGAGTAATACATATTATTACTGTGGAGGGTTCACCCAATTTACTCTAGTTTCCAATAGAATACAGACTGCATTGATATTATTGACATTAAATTTGAGTCTTTTACTATTTCATGACCCTATATCGATACGCTTTTCATAAATTCACAAAGGAAGGGAAACAACTCTCGTCAAACCTACATAGATAACTTTGAGCACCAGACAGTGATTGCATTTGGTCACAGGTCATTGCCCATAACTCATAAAACAAATAATTAATTCCAAACTTGTCCTCACCACATCTGTCTATACTCTGAAGAATGGCCTGGTCGACCCCCATCAGTTGTAACACTGGCTCAGATTCCATTTCCTGCTCCTCCTCGATGTCCAGTCGCCGTGTCCCCTTGTTGCCGTCTCCACCTGTCACTTGGAGATTGTCGGGAGCATCGTTGGAGTCCTCGTCCATCTGTTGCTGGACCTGTGTGTCGTCCAGCTGTCCTAGGTTGGCCTCAGAGTTGTCTCGGCTCATCTCTGTGTTGTCTTTTTTCTTTGCTAATTTTGCCTGATTTTTAAACATTTTATATAATTTAATAATGACAATAATTGTCAAAGAATAAAAATAGACAGCATTTATACCATATAACGAAACCTTAACATTATAATGAATGAAGAAACTTTGTAAATTATAAATATAAAGTACAAACATATCTTGCTGCGAAATTGTCATAATGAAAAAGATACACATGTGTATAATATTTTTCTGGATTTGGTGACGTTTTGACATGTAAAATAAAATATAGCTTTTTTTTCATAAAGTTAATATATTCCGGAAAAGAAAAGAAAACCTCAATAAGGTATATGACAGTCTTGAAGACAAAATTATTGTTAATTATCTAGAAACATATAATCTTCAAAATGATGGAAACAAACTATTTTAAGAAAATATTGTTAATACAGCTGCTTCTATTTAAAACTTTGAAATTATTCGGAACATTTTCTAAACGGAATCAATAAATATAAGTTACCTCCCTGGAAGTGGTCTGGCGGAGAAAGAACTCGTCATGAGGGTCCGCCGGGTCACCATCGGAGCGACTCTGGACATGTATGAGATCAGACCCTTGTAGACCGAGCATGTCTGGGAAAAACAAACTCATGGGAGCCAGAATTGTCTCATCACCAAACTTCATAGCATATTTAATAATGTTTTGTTCTGGTTTCCGTATAAGTATTGATCTGTCCTTCACTCCAAAGTTGTCCTGTAAAAAAAAAATTGATACAAGGGAAAGTGACTAATCTCTATCCCCAAAATCTTTAAGATTTCAAAAGACTTTCTACATAGCCTCAGTACATACTGAAATGTTTCTAGTTGTAAAGCAATTTGTTGAATTGTTTTAGAAGATGAGGATTTACTTTGGAATTTCAAACTTTAAACCCACCGCAGTTCACTATTATCGAAGGGAGATAACACTTCAACAAGTACTTACCAGTAAAATAGTCAACAGTATAGGTTTCCAGTATCAATATTATGTTGTTTTTAAGTTTATATAAATATAAAATCATATCCTTCTCATCCAAAATCAATAAACTGTTAGGAGTAATTAAAACAAGGGGCCTGCATTGCTCACCTGTTAATTAAGGGTGTCGGCAAATTGTATTTAATGCAGAAATGCTTCGGAAGAAACACTTTTGCAAAAAAGTTATAAATTCTTTCTATGAAACCTACTTGGTCTAGGTGGCAGTATGATTCTTTATATTCCTGCAGCAGTAGTCCATCTATTGTATTTCTGGGGTCAAGTTCACGTGGGCTGAACCCAGACTTCCCAAGTAACCAATGGAAACACCTGGTGATGTCACTTCCTCCATATTCCATTGTTATTCTGTCAAAAGAACATTTTCAAATGATATTGTGATTCTCTTTAAATGGCATCAAAATGTAAACAACAGATTTAAGAATGTTTCTAAACGTTTTTATCAGGTTGGTTAGTATGAAAAGAAGGTTGAAGAATGTCTTCTCAAAAAGCAAACCATAGGTTCTTGTGTATGTACAGGTAAACACACTTATTATCATAAAACTTGTGAAGTTGGATGTTTAAGTACATGTATAATACACTTTAAACTGGATAAAACAGTTATCTTTCTTTGATGCTGTGAAGATCCATAATGCTTCCCTAGGTTTTCAAGTCATTTTGTCTATATTTATTACAACCGTAATATTTTATATTATATTACAACCGTCTGCCTGAGTGTCATGTTTTATATCATCCTACATACATGTTGTAGACACTTTATTGTCACATCTACATTTGTGCTACAAACAAATATAGATTTTTTAACAGAAAATGCTAAAACTGTACATATCTACATCTAAACAAGACTTACATTGTACTTAGGATCCCTTAACTGCACTGTGTTTTTTTTTCTATATAGAGTAATCTCCCTTTAACTTACATTTGGATACAACTGTAGCACGACTGAGCCAGTACGTTGACCAGATAGCTCAATATGAGGTCCAGGGCTCGAGTCAGGGTTTATATAGCCTGGCTGAATCTTTTACAATCAGACCACTGTTGTTATTTATACGTTTTTCATTTCATCTTTATTATTTCTCAGAGAAGTCCCGCAATGCAGGCTTTCCTTTTCAGAAATAGTCTATCAAAACTATAGCCATGCAGGAAAAAAGAGTTTCCAATGCTTAGTTACAGTTTTTGAAAATGGTACGAGGATCCTTAAGTCCATTATTACCTGGTATTTTTGTGAGATATTCCATCCTCCACACAACACACGCTTGTTTTCTGGTCGCCAACATCTACCACACAGGCACTGCCCACCCCTGCACCAAAAGTGGCACACACAGATTCCTGTACAAACACAGCATAAAGGAAAGATGGATTTCTACTTACTTTATATATCCGACTATAAGCCCATACCTGGTAATAAGCCCACTCATACATGTATCTATTACAGTACAGAAGAAATGCCAACAAATGTAAAATGTAAACTTCATTTATTTTACGCCAATTATAAAACAAGTTATTTCCACTTATATTAATCACTCTTGTTGGCCCGGGTGTTAGCACGCTAGGGGTCTTAGTGTGGGAGGAAACCAGAGTACCCAGAGAAAACCCACTTGGTCGGGCAGGTGACCCCATACCTTTTCCCATCTGATCGGGGAATCCAACCCTGGCCGCCTTGGTGAAAGGCTAGTGAGCTATTCACTGCACCACCCGACCACCCAATGCCAACAAATGATAATACATTGTCCTGTAATAAGCCCATCTCCCTTACTTTTAGTCAGACATTATGTTCTAGCCTCCGCAGCTTATATTATTGCAGGATGAATACAGTAGTCTAAAAATTCCATCTGTATATCTTATACAAGAAAACAAACTCCAGAGTTTTTAGTAAAAAACTTCAGTAACACTAAATATATATTTCAAAATAAAGGTGTAAAAAATTATACTTTTTAATTGAAAACGATTCCTTGTTCCCTCATGCAGAATATTACAGGGTAAAAATATTTAAACACAAATTAGGAAAATGAATTTATTCTTGAAATGTTTTTATTCCTTTTTAGAGAAATAATAAAGAAACATGCTGTTATCAGTTTTCGAGTCACTTTCAAATTGGTTTGAATATTTAAGCCTGTAGAATAAGTGTTCCAAACTATTGTACTAAGATTTACTTGAAGTATTACGGTAACAAACCTGATGTACGACAGCTGCCCCGAAGCCCAGTTTCTCCAACAGAATGTCCATCATATGTTTTACATGATGGTGGATGTACACATCTGGTATCAGGAGGAGGGCTTTATATAGCTGTAAATCAACACATACTGATTATAGATCTTTTACCGTATTGTAAGAAACTTTCATTCTCATTTCAAACTATTTGGCAGAGACAAACTATGGCAGTAAGTTTGCAAAATATTTGTTGCTTCTCTAGGACACAGAAACTTTAACACAACAAATTTTATGTTTTACATAATTAAGATTTAAGTTTATAAGAAATATAATCGGTTCCTGCAGACAAACTAGATAACCAATACACCTGTTGGATGTCAGTCTATTGTCAATGCCAGTATACAGTTTATTATAATGATTTCAAAGTCATCCAAACCTTAGCTCATTTTGTAATTATAGCCCGACATTGTCAAAAGAGTTTGAAGTTCATCTTACAGATAATTTCATATCAGGGAACATATAAATATGACTTTATTAGATAAACTATTATTATATTTATAACAAACATGTTTTCTTCCATAAACATATCATAAATGAAAACCTTGAGATCTTTGAGAGGAATATCCAGCAGAGTTTGGATGGCCTGACCCCATATGGTCTCAATGTCAGCCATGACGGCTGTCAGTGTTCCCCCTGGTCCATTGTGAATATTTAAATGTCCGCCTCGCATCGGCCAATGAAGATGATAATTGTCTGCTGGGTTCATATATAAGGCCTGAAAGGAAATTTAAAATGTTAAAGATAAATTTCCTGGTAAATAATCAACACATTTTTGGCACATTTTGTTTTTCATATAAAGTTATGAGATTTCAAATACAGGATGTCAAGTTGATGTAAAATAGTAGTTAATTCAGTTAACTTTGATTAATTTCATTAAACTATTGAAATGAATAAAATTTATTATGCGGTATTAGAAAAAAATTAAAATGGTCAATAAGACACACAAAAACATGGCCGCTTATCAATCACTGATCAATACATGTATATATATTGATATAATGTCTTTTCACAGTAAAACTTATTTCATTTGATAGTATTTAATAGTAATAGTAACTTCATGAGGTGCTGTAGAAATTGATTGGTCCAGAATGCTTGAATATTTAGTCACTGTTTTAAAAGAAAGTTACTGTAAACAAACTTATTTTAGCAGCAGTCATAAGTTAAGGCCATTCATGCCAATTTGAAAGTGCTTATATATGTTAAATCCTCTATATTATGGATAACTATAGCTATCCTATCTTAGAAATTTTCACGAAAATAATATGTTCAATTAAAGTTTGGGGATATAAGTAATTTTACAGTACTAGTGAACATGGCACTTAATGAAGTGGAATCAAATACAGCTCAAAGTCATTCTTCAGAAAGAAAGAAATATTCAAAAAATCCACAATATTTTCAAAAATAAAAACTGAAATTCAAGATATTTCTAAAAGCTTTTTCTGAAATTAAAAACGAAATTTAAACTATTTTGAAAATTTGAGTAAGTCAAGTCACTTCACTCAATTTTTCAAAATAGTGATTCTGATAGGTGTCAGTCATCAAACATTGACCAATTAAATTAAGAACTGACCAATGGGTTTTTTCCAAGTATGACAATTTGCTGATCATATTAAAGTGATTCTTCTAACTACAGTACCATGTAACAAATATGAACACATTTACCTCTTCTCCTATTACAAAAGGCAAACTCTGGTCAATGGTAGTCCACCTGTGTGGACAAATGACCTCGGTCAACTGTCCTCGGACATTATTGTTGTGGGAATATAGCTGGAAAACAGAAAATAAGTCACTAATTTAACATATATTTCACTGGTTTGTATTTTCCGTAATAAAGGAACATATTTAAATAGACTTTTCATTTGTGTTTCCGCCGTCATCCTCAGAAAAAATAGGGTAAATGTAGGTAGGTAGGCAAATTTGTTTTTGATTTTTTTTTTTTTACTATGCTTATATAGAGCAGGTTTTCTTACTTAAACAATGCTGATCACCAAATGCCAATACTTTTTTAGGGTAGACACTAAAATCTAGGGTAGGTAGGGGAAGCGGAAACACAAGATTTTTTTTTTCATTTGGCCTGACCTGTGTTAGGACCTACCAGTTTGTGTGATGTCGGCTGTCTATACTCCCCAGTAGATGTTGGCTTGTAGGCTAGAGCTTCCTCTGCCTGCTTCAGCCCCTGTCTTTGCTGGTATTTGCTTTCTGGTTGCTGTCAACATTGATGTACCGGAATGTATTATAGTAGATAAATAGCATATCAAATATATCATATCTGACTGAAGTTCTACATAAATCATTTAACAGTTATAGTTTCCTTTTATGTCAATGAGCCAAAATACAATGTAGGTTACGTCTAGTGCTTATCAGAATATTGCAAAGTGATTTGAAATATAATCAGAAGAAATTTACTATCCAAAGTAAAAATTACATGTAGACCTATATTAGGTGTCAGAACCATAATGCAGGTGATGACCATTAAAAACACAGGTCATAACATTATGTAACCAGTGTAAGTTTTGGCATGTAATAACTTCATCACTTACTGTTATTTAAAAGTTAAAACATTTGCTGACTTGCTGTAATCTATTGTCATCATAAACACTTTGAGGTCTGATAGTCAAAAACAGTAAATTGTTTGCAGGAAGTATTCAATTTGTTAATAAAATCATTTGAAATTTATTCTGAAAATACAAAACAAGAGATTTTCTCCTGGTTGAAGAAGCCAATTTAAGATTGCCTTGCTTCCGTCAGCATGTCGAAGTGTTCACATCTAGGACAGTAGTACTAATATATTAATACCCGGCCTCGAGGTATGATAAAAAATTCTCTCGTCATCAGAAAGCTATGTGAGGACAGTAACACATTTTGTATAAGTACATTAAATGATTCACCTGTGACATATATTCTATGAACACTTTAAATACAGGTAGGTAATTAATCATTTGTAGTGTACAAACATAAGCACTAGATGAATGATTGAAAAGGCATACAACAATGAATACCTGACATTCAGGACGAAGAATCCACGGAGTCGACTGAAGTGGTTTGCTAGGGTCCTTTTTCTTACGTGCAATACAATGTGGAATTGTGATAGGCAGTCCATCGGAACCTCTACCAAGTCTTAGGTTGTAAGATCCAGGTTGAATGACAACAGTTGTTGCTGTTTGAACTGGCTGTTAATTTAAAGTTTATTTGAAAGAAGAATTATGGATTTAAATAAATCATCAGAGTGGACTAATGAGGTCATGTGACATTACCATACCATAAAAAATGCTGCTATGTTTGTAAGACATTTTTCTGATCAGTGGATAACTTATATAATTAGTATTCAATGAGTTTCAGTTAAAAAGGAGATATGGTTCTTGGGGAATAAAAAATCTTGTATAATCACAGAATGAAATATTGAACCTGGTATGGCATGCAGGCCTAAACCTCAGCTGTATTATTGTTAGAAATCAAATATTATATTGGCATTCGCCATGTAATAAAATTTCTTATTCCATGCTCATATCATCAAGTTCTGTCATTGATAGGCATATAAACATTTAAATGGTGATATTCTTGATTATCTAACACAACGGCTTGCTTCAAGTCCTGTTGAGTTGATATTTTTCTTGCATATCCCTACTACAGGGGTTGATTCTTTTGCTCCCATCATAACGGTAAAGTGTTCAAAAACAATATAATCAGTATAATTATTTGATTTGCACAATCTTTCATGTCAAAACTGTATTGTAATATTACATTCTCCATGTGACATCATTTAATCATTGTGTTGTTTCTACAAGCTATATTTCTCAACAGAAATATGTTAATTAATCAAACCCTCGGGGTGAACACATAAAACTGGAGACAATCCTGTGATAGGTGGACTGTTACAAATTAAGGATGTTGTTACTCTAGTTCTATAAAAACTAATTTGTTATATAAGTTTTATTTCTGTGTGTATTCTCTATATTTTGTTGTATTTCCACTTTTTTGTTTTTGTCTTCACTTCTGCTTAGTATGCCCAGTGTTTTAATGTGTAGCTAGCTAGATCATCAACTGGTTAAACGTTCGACTATAGTTTGGAGGGTCCCAGCTAGATCAAACTCATCATGCTTACACCAATTTTAGTACAGTTTTTTTTAATTTTTTTTTTTTACATATCATTATACAGGGGTTAGCCATTCAACAAAAATATCACCCATGGCCACAATTACCCTCTACTGTATACTGCTAACTACAGTATTACATTTTGTGCCTGTGAGCAACCCTCATTTCAAGTTCTGGGTGAATGCTTGTCATTCCCGAACCTGGGTTGCAAATACTGTTGTCTTTGGGACGAATACTTAGTAAAAGGAGGGAGGAATGTATATGTAGCAGAACTGGACTGGGTCGATTGTCAGTGACCAGTGCAGCTAGCTCAATTGTAGAGAGCATCCATCCACATTTTGGAGGGTCCCGGGTTTAGTTTTCTGTTTAAATTTTTTATTGTGCTTTTATGTATACCATTAAGCATGTCTGTTATTGTTACTTGTTTTTTGTGCATACACTGTACGTTTGTCATAAAACTATTACAATCGCTATACATCGCTGATGTTTTATATTTGCTTCAGACATTAAATAAATTTTCTTGATTCCTGAACCTTGCTGGGGTGGGGGACAGGGGGTGGGGGCATAAGTATCCAGCGACTGAAAGTCTTACAAAATCAATATTATCGGTAATTGCGTGCCCATGAAGTGA